AAATGCGTTTTGTCGACCCTCGAACCAATCTGTCTGCCTGAGGCCTAACGGCCTCGGGCACACAGTTTGGTTCTTGGGTCCAACAAAATGCATGTGGCCCTCAAACTTAGTCATTAAATGTACAGGGTATAATGTTTTCTATTTATCAGGAAATCATATGGAAGCACACACACCCTTATTCTGTTCCCTACGGTCATGAGCTATGTCTAGTATTTGAGATGGGAATTGTCTTGTATGTCAATTGCAAGTTCTTTTTTATGAAATGTAGTTAGCTTTGAAAATGATTTTTAAGCAATTTCATTTTTGTTTTCCGCAACACAATAGGCCAATTCTTATTCAATTAGTATTTCACCCTATTGAAGAATGTATATGTTGAAAAGCAATTACACTTTGTCAAAGTCTTTCTTTTTATTCTTTTTTATTCTTTGTTCACATTTTTTTCTTTTATTAATTAACATACAACACTTACTACTTTTGCCATTTTTGTCAGATTATGTTGATAAAATAATCTGATTAACAAGGCTTCAAAGGGAAAAAATTTAGTTCTGCAATGTTTGAGGATAGGCAAAGAATACAAGTCTGTACATCCTTCTTCTATGATTGCAATAATACATATATCAGAGTATACATCTGATCAAGAGTAATTTATCCTCAACACAGATGAATGCATTTTATTACTCAAAATTCAATATTTATGATACATGTATATACAATGTATTCAAAGAATCTTACAAGATTAAGCTAAGTGTGAATTCTGAACAATATGCTATTCTAGGAAAAACATTCACAACAAAATAAGACTCAGCATCAGGAAGAAATGTATATATTGACAAAGACAGACATACATGTAAGGTAACCAGTGTCACTTCATTGATTGAAAAGCTTTGAAATTAAGTACAAAATATTCCTTTATAGGTGAATTTACTAGTATATAATTTAAATTCACAACTGTCAATTAAATAGCAATTACCGCTACTGATACTCACAAGTTCAATTAATATCCTGCAAACAATTTCCAACATTTAACATCATGTTGGCTGTAGATACAGCATTTCTTAAAGCACTGACATTAGAAACATACAAATCTACAATACAAGATTTAGTTTGAGAAATTTGTTGAAGATTACTTATTTCATTTTTCAAAACTATGTCATTTATTGAGGAGCGTGAATGAATCTTTATGTCATTCACAGAATTCAAGTTATCCATTTTCTCAGTCACCATCCCACATGAACATGTCAGAGTGTCAAGGTCATAGTGCTTATCACTATCAAGTGGAACTCTCCAGCAGTGAAAGGTAGGAAAGGTTGTCATCATCATAACCCCAAGGTGCCCTGATGACCTGGCAACCTGTAATAAGCTATTACAAAGGATTTCACAGGCTGCTGATAATGCTGATGAGGTACACATGGTATTCTCAAGAACTGAAGATCTTTTTTCTTCCATCTGAAAAATATTTGAAAACAGAATTATTTTAAATTTGATTTTATGTTAATTATGAAGAGTTACAAAAATAAATCAATAAAAAGACAGTGACAAACTGGATTTGTGGATAAAACATTTTTTCCAAAGAAAGGGAAACATTTGTCAACCTCCTGCTTGGCTGAAGCCCCAATATACATGTATACAGCTGTTGTTTGAGATATGAAGACAAATGTAATTAATTTAATGTTCCAAAAATCACATAAACATAACAACAAGCATTCAGAATGATGGATGGTGAAAGGATGTTATTACCTTTTGTTTGACATTGAATGCCAGACTTGTTTCCCAGCATCCTCCACCACAGAGAAGTATGGGATATTGTAGAGTGTTTCGTAAGGTACTCAACGCTGTCTCGCACACCAACTGCAATTCATTTATACATTATACAAGTAAACTAAACCCAATAGGGATTCAAAGAATTACATTTGGCCACAATAACCAGCTTTCTATACCAGCCAGCAAAGATCCCTCTATGGAACCAGTCTAAGTAAGAAAGTTTTACTGTATACATACACACCTACAAGTCTACTCTAGTAAATTCTTTACTTTTTTTCTACATGTATCTGAAAATGATTTCAAATATTTTTCAATCTTTCTTGGTAGATATCTATATCATAACAATATACAAATGAGCTCTTGAGTAATAATGTGTTTTTCAGTTCCTAAACATTTATTTCCTTCTTTGGATTAATATAATCTCTGTTCCCACACTTTCTCCTCATTAAGTACTAGTATATTCAGATGCCTTGCATGGTGTTAATTTTACAATTTACATATAAAGCAAAAACCATCAACTCCGTTTTATTTTCTCACCTTGAGCTCTGATACTGTCTCCTCCTCCATACCATACAACAAAAGGGAGTTAACTCCTCTGTCTGCTCTCTGTAAGTGGAGGTAACTCTTCTTGTTCAGAATGACATGATCTATAGCATCTAACCAACCTAAGTTCTTTTTTGGGTCACAGGAAAATGAGTCTATAGGGATTGCACCTGTAAAATTAGTAAGTCAATTTATTTGTCATACCTCTCTTCATTTCAACAACAATCAACTCTGCATGTGTTGTACGAACAATTCTAACATCATGTTTTGGAGTAGACAGTTGCTATTATTATGATGTGAAAGTTTTCATTTTTTTTCCTTTTGTTGTATAAAAGAGTTTAGAAGGGAGAAATCAATTATTCTCTTTTTGAAAAAATACCTGTCAAATCCTGTACAAAACTGGTAATCCTTGCTCCCATTCGTTCAATTACAAATATTCCCTTCCCTCTCAGGTATGTTTTTATTTTTGGATGGATGACCCTTTGACACATAACCACTCCTACTTTATGGTCAATTATGCGATTACAAAATGTCATGATATATTCTATTACTGTTTGCTGTGCATTTACTTCAGTATTCTGATGATATTGACCTTGAATGACCTCTTCACTGTCACCGGACATGGATGTTGTCACCAAGGCAACCAAAATTCTTCCATCTTGTATCTTGTTAAAATGAAGGGTCTTTGTGTGAGAAGAAGAAATTTCTGGATACAGTAATAAAATTCCTGGTAAATATTTAGACTGGTCCACTGATGTACCCTCAGAGGTCAAAATCATGACACCATAAGCATTTGTACGATCTTCTTTCACAGAGGTCAAAAAACATTCAACAAGTAAAGATGCTATATGCTTTAGACATTCATCTGACATTTTACACAGAGGTTTAGACGAAAGAATTGTTTTCACTTGTGATAAAATCTGAACAGTATTAGACAAAGAAAGATTGACTTTTCCAGGAAAACTGTCAGCATTCAACACACTCAAGGCCAGGTCCATCAGTTCCTCATTCAGTTCTATCAAAACTCTGTTATTAACTACAGAATTCTCAGCTGATTCCACAATATTCAGGCACCAAGCCATCAGAGACAATCCTCCATCACTGAACTTTTGAAGATGACCTTCAGCAGAGGTCACCAAGAGCTTAAGAAGTGGCTTCGATATGGATAACACAGGTAAAAGTCGCCCAGATGACGAGGTCAAGGTCACATGTCCACCAGAAGCATTCTGTATGACCTTGACCTTACCATGTGGCCCCCTGCTAGTCTGGACTATGTTTTTTAATAGTTTTATTCCTTCTAGGTTGTCCTTGAGCTCGCCATGATTAACTTTGCTCTCCTCTTTCACACTTTGTCTTCCACTCATTCCTACAGCTCTTCAATGTTATGAAGTTTCCTCTATCTGACTGACCCGAATAAACTGACTCTGTTCACGTCTCTTCCTTTCCTCGAGTTTAGCTTTCCTAATTTCATATCTCTCTAACCCTGTGGAGGGCATGTCCATGCGAATAGTATGAAGTCGATATTTCTCCAAAGCTTTCCTTAAAAATACTGTACCTAACAAAATTCCTAAGAATTGTTTGGGCGATTTCACAATTCGAGTTCGAGTAGGTTTTTGCATTGTCAATTGGTAAGCATGTGATATATAGTATCCTTTAAATTATGGCTCTGTGAAAATAAAAGAAAGGAAAACATGAAACCCTGATTTTAGTGTCTACAGTCTTGCAATTTAATGGACAAACAGAAAGTCAATTTACAAAAGCCATTATCAATTTTAAAAAAAATTAAATCTATAATATCAGGTGCATTTGCAAGGAAAACTAATTTTGTTTCATCTGAAATATTGTAGTCTGAAGTATACTCACAATGAATAATTTTCATAAATGTTATCAGTCTTTCCTTTCTCTTCTGTGCATATTTTTCCTTATATTCGGCAAAGTCATCCTTATCTAAGTTCACATATGGACGCAGTTCTGTACTTCTCAAAAACTTCTTTCTTTGCAACCTCTAATAATTTTTTCTCTCTTTCTTCTGAGTATTTAAGCCAGGATATGTGCAGCAGATACCAAGATCCAAAAAAAGCAGTGAGGACAGCACCAAGCTTAGGGATATTTATATTACCTCTCATTGCTCATTCTATGCTAGTATTGTATCAGTCTTTTTGCCTCAGAAATCTGAAATCAAAATTGATTCATAAAGGCAAGATACATTCCTCAAATGTTACTTGTTATATTAAGTTTCTAACTCTCAAACCAAACAGCATTATTTACAGCAATTTAATTTAAACTGTTAAAACAATCCTAACAAATAAAATAAAGATTATAGATAAAATATTCAAAAATGTTTAGCTAAACAAACAGTCAAATTACTTTTTAACTGATAACAGATTTGCACATTTCCCCACGCTTCTTTATCAGTTTATAATGTATTGCATCATGAAAATATAAATTTAGCACGTTTGACCTTTCTAATATATCGCAACTGAGAAAACTCGAGCTAACTTTGGCATGTGTACATCAAACAGTTAAAATGTAGTAATTTTATGTATACTCAATAAAGAAACTTGTTACCCATTAATCATTTCTAACGTCAACAACACATTGCAGACACAGACTTGGGTAGTTTCTTGTTAACTTGCCTTTATGATTCCAACATGCAACACCAAGTTCGATGAACTTTTGTGATTAAGCAGGGTTTATCGTTAAAGGGAGATGACTCTAAAACAGCGCGAAAAATGGAAAGGAGAAACTTTTCGACAAGGAATAGATACAACATAACAAAGTACTTAAAGGTATCTTTTTGAATTGTTTTCTACGAAAAATCTGTGCTATGAAATGTCTATAGTGATGTCATTTATGGTTTGACCTGAATCTGATGATCTTCTTGCTAAACCTAAGGTCATGAGTGGTGAGAACATCCATATGACATAATGATATATGATCATGATGATCCAACTTTTCTGTTGCTTTGGGTGACCAAAATATCACTTAAAGGTTTTATATATTCTGATTTATCCAAATTTTAAGTTAAATTATATAAGACCAGTGTTTTCTTCTTCATCATCTTTTTTTTATGCAAATTTCTTGAATAAATGATCAATTTAGGTCTCTATGAGTAAGACACGTACAGGAACTTGTTTCGGAAATAAATTTTTAATCCAATAATAATAACACAGGTATCTAACTCCAAATAACATTCAGTAACCCCCCTCCTCAGAATTAAACTTGTTTCATTTACACTTAAACAGGTTGGGAACACATCACGTTTAGCGAGATCATCTCGCTAAAGCGCGATTATCCCTCTGTAGCGGGAGAAAATACATCTCGGAAAATCGAGATTTGTACACTGATTCAAACTGTAATCGTGTTAACTTCTGAAGAAGGAAAATCCTTGTTAACCCATTCGATAAATATTTATTGTCTCATCTCAATAAATTTGCTTCAAAATATTGCCTCTACTGCTGCAAATCATGGAAATTAGAATAAGTTTATGAGCAATAGCGTAGCCTTCCTACGGAGGACCACATGTGATAATTATCAGTACAACTAAACTTACTTCGGTTATACGGTTATTGTAATTGCATGTTTACCTTAATACGCCTGTTGCCCCCGGGAGTATATACAGCAGGACATAGTGATGGGGTTCCGTTTTGGATTTTTACATGACGATCTCGAGACGGAAGGTTTTGACCTATAAATTCTCAAATCGCCTCATTGACTGATATAAAGTCCCACCTTCTTCAAGAAGCACTCATTGGTTCTTTGCTACACTCGTCAGAGTTTCCAGGATCTTCAACAGATACATGTATATTAATTTTTTCTGTATATTTTACCCGTGAAATAATACGTTCAGTGTCAGTTTTAAATTCTAGTCCTACGTAAATTACCGGTAATCAACCCTAAAAATTATTGTATCCTATACTATTGCACTTTCATATTGGAAACATGATATTTTAGACGGCTAGAGATGGTACATTAGATGGATGGATAGGTGGGGGAGGGGTACTAGAAACAAATGAAGTAGGTAGGTTGTGCATGGTAAAAGCTATCGACATAACCATTGTTAAATCTTTACCATTTTAATTGAAAGTCTTATCGGTGATCAATTAAGACTCGATCTTCTAATAAGGAAGCTATTAAAGGTGACAATAGCCTCTCTTATTAACTAAATAAAACAATTACAAGGTATAATAAAATGTAAAATTCGAAGTATTCCATGCAATGTTCGTATATATAAAGAATGTCTTTAAATTCACCTGCCGCCAAAATACGGCTGAAATTTTGCCGACTCGGCATTTAACAATAACAATCAACACTTTTAGCTTTTTTTTTTATTTATTTGATTTTGGGGGGCAGATTTTTCAGAAGCCCCCCCCCTTTTTTTTAAATATAAAAATGCCACCTGGTCTGTGTGCTTTCATGTAGTCTATGTTTTGGAAAGTACTAGTATCTGATTTCCTTTTAAAATTTACACATTTTAACCTATGCAGGATCCCAACATATGTTTCCAACGCAATTAAAGTGTCCTCAAACGAAGAACTGTTCATTGCCACCGGGTAAAAACATTAAGAATTTATGTTATTAAAATACGAATACCTAGGGAATATTATACTTCTTTAATTATAATTAACAACACGTAAGTAGCAGCAATTTCAACAATGCAATTTCGCATTTTCGTTTAGTTATTAAATTTAATTCAAGGTAACATGTTTACACTTTCAACAGGCACGTTTCTGTGTTAATGAAAAGAAGGGTAAGTGGTAACTGAAAAAAAGTTCGAAGCTAAACCCCCTCCCCCTCTACCCGCAAGAAATAGGATTTTCAGGTTTGCACAATGGTCAAATTCTCCTCTTTTTGTCAAGTTTTTTTCAGGTTGATTTTTTTCTCTTTGAATTAGCCATCCCCCCCCCTTTTCCAATTTGCTTCCAACGCCGCTGAATCATGCTTTCCTGAATTTACAAGTTTACTGCATCTTTGTACTAAGTCAATATCGGTTAGACTCAATATACGGTAAACCTATTTTATTAATTTGTTTTCAATATTAATGGTTTACCCATATTCTATACACATCTCAGTTTATACTTGCTTTTTAGCTCACCTCAACGAAGTTGGGGGAGCTTATGTAATACCCTCAGCGTCGGCGTCGGTGTCGGCGTCGGCGTCCCAGGTCAGTTTTCTTTTTAAGTACTTCTATGTCCTATATTGATTAGACATGCATGGAAGATGGTTCTAGTGTGTTTCATTGTATCAGTCAAAGTTTCAGATGCTGCAATTTCAGCAAAGAAATGACCAGGTTAATGTTTTTGGAGCAGGTTAACATTTTTGGTGCAGTTTTTGGTGTAGGTTTCATTTCCAAGTAACTATAATCCCTATTGACGAAACTTGCATGGATGATACATCTAAGGATGGATATTTAAACTTCGTGCTGAATCTGACCTACATTTTCCGGTTGATTGAACAGGTTAAAGTTTTTGGTGTAGGTTTCATTTCCAAGTAACTATAATCGCTATGTTGACCAAACTTGCATGGATGATACATCTAATGATGCATACACCGGGCTTGCTTCGGATGCTGAATCTGACCTACATTTTCCGGTTGATAACAGGTTAAAGTTATTGGTGCATGTTTCATTTCCAAGTAACTATTAGCCCTATGTTGACCAAACTTGCATGGATGATACATCTAAGATGGAAATATGGGCTTGCTTCGGATGCTGAATCTGACCTACATTTTCCGGTTGAGTGAACAGGTTAAAGTTTTTGGTATAAGTAACTATAAGTCCTATGTTGACCAAACTTGCATGGATGATACATCTAAGGATGCATACAACCGGACTTGCTTCAAATGCTGAATCTGACCTACATTTTCCGGTTGAGTGAACAGATTAAAGTTTTTGATGCAGGTTTCAATTCCAAGTAACTATGAGCCCTGTGTTGACCAAACTTGCATGTATGATACATCTAAGGATGCATACTACCGGGCTTGCTTCATTGCTGAATCTGACCTACATTTTCATTGAGTGAACAGGTTAAAGTATTTGGTGTAAATTTCATTTCCAAGTAACTATAAGCCCTATGTTGACCAAACTTGCATGGATGATACATCTAAGGATGCATACTACCGGGCTTGCTTCAAATGCTGAATCTGACCTACATTTTCCGGTTGAGTGAACAGATTAAAGTTTTTGGTGCAGGTTTCATTTCCAAGTAACTATAAGCCCTATGTTGACCAAACTTGCATGGATGATACATCTAAGGATGCACACTACCGGGCTTGCTTCAAGCTGAATCTGACCTACATTTTCTGGTTGAGTGAACAGGTTAAAGTTTTCAAAGGTATCTCTTTGCTTCAGATGCTGGATTTTGATTACATTTTCATGAAAAATCTACCCGGTAGTTTAAATTTTTTATGTAGGTCTATTTCAAAGTATCAGATCAAAATTGCTTAAATATTTTCATTTTTGGAATGTACACTTTTTGTTGGTTAATTGTGTGAATTTGCCTTATTTAAAGACAACATTCATTGAGGTGAGCTCTGTAATCTCTGATTACCTATGTTTAATCATGACTTTTCCACAAACGTTTTCTGTTGCTTTGGGTGACCAAAATAAATATTTAAGCAAATATCAGGGTTTTATATATATTATTTATAACTTTTGTTAAATTATATAAGACCAACGAATATAATTTGGATATCTTCTTTTTATATGCTTTAAAAACATATATGACAAATTTCCTTGAATAAGGCACGATCACGTGGATTTAGCATCTTATTCTCACACGCAGCAGTGATTGTCTTAATTTCTGGAAGTTTTGTCAGTTTTTTGTAGTAAATAGATATTTAATCCAATAATCAATAACACAGATTTTTGATTATTTTATAACGAAAACAACAAAATTCCCGTTTATGGTAATGTTTTTTCTCCGCTAGAATTAAACTTGTTTCATTTACACTGTAAAGAGAAAATATACTGGCAAACAGTTTTTTAGTTTATCTAATCTCGGGAAAAGAGCAAATTTAAAAATGAGTGGGTTTAAAAATTCAATTTCAGATTATAAATGTACTGAATAAATAAAATTTGATTATTTGTCATTTTCCATAAACACACTACATTTTTCTGATGTAATTTTAGAAACAGATTTTTAGCAAATCAAAATCTCTATGGGATTAGCATATACCATTTCATGGTTGAATTTGACTTTTCCACTCATCGAGAAGAGTTTTGACTTTGTTTACAGAGATAAAAGAAAAAAATTGGACATGCATGCCATATATGGTCAGTGCATTTCCTCTGAAAGTGTAAATTAGTGCGTTTCTGAGGAGAGGGCTACTGAGTGTAATTCGGAGTTAGATACCTGTGTTATTATTATACTAGGGGTTAATTTTTTTTCTGAAACAAGTGCCTGTGGCTGTGCTCTATGATCCTGATCATGTTTATTTAATGACCAATGATTATTTAGCATGTTTATTCATTGTTATTTAATGATCAATATGTTTATGCATGTTTATTTATTCAATGATAAGAAAAGGATTGGGATGTGAATTTCAGCCAGTATAGCTTAGTCAGTAAGAGCATCTGACTAGTGATGCAGGGGTCCAGGGTTTGATTCCCGGTCCAGCCATACTTTCCTGTTACAATAGAAAGAGGAGGCATGAAGGAAAATCAGTTATGCTTAATTGAGTTTCATTGATTTTAGGTTAATGACAAAAAAGCTATTCAGATGGAGATTCATAGAACTAATAATGAATCCTCCCAAAGAAAGAGTTCAAAGAGAGTGGAAAGAAGGCACTTAAAGGTACTTACCATCAGTGTACTATCAATCATTTTATGAAAGGAAAATTCCCTCCATTCTTTTTAGCTGAAAAGCCCTTAATTTAAAAAAGAAGAATGAAAAAATGACTCAAACATGTTAGTCACTAAAAATGCTTGTCACTTCAACAGTGTTCAAGTAGCTGATTTCTGTATATAATGTTGTGTATGCTCTGTGATAGGAAATAGAGAGTTTACTACGAGACATTGTTACAAAGCGTATAGAAAATGAAGACAACAAAAGTAAAAGCACTTCAACAGAAGCTAAAATTATAACAGGTTAGTATTGTCACACTGTTGACAGGAAGTAATTGATTATTTAGTATTAAGTTTGGCAAAGGCACCTTTGAAGCTTAAATAAGCTAACTTTGTATTTAAAATCCAATCAACAACACATATTATCTAGTCTTCCAGGATGCATTAAACAAACATATGAGAATGACATTATGGGGACTTTGCTTGTCAGTATTTGTTAGTAATGCAACTATGTCATTGTGAATCTACTAAAATGTCAAGACTGTCGCGTAGTTTCTAATGTTTGACTTTTTGTTTGCAGAAAACTTTTTCAAAATTCTACTTGAATTAAATTTTAATCAAATCTCATTGTCAGTATTTTGATCAAAGTAATTTATACATCTTTTAGTACTGGTAACAAAGACAAAATTTTAATTGGGATGTGTATTATTCTTTTCCATTAAAGGTGAGATGATTAGACTCGGATATACCTTCAAGAACAAAAAAGAAAATCAGATTTTACTTTTATCTGATGGAAGTGATGAAGAAGGTAAGCATATACCATAAAACACACTTATAACCAACTGATGCTTACAACGAAGTCTTTTTCATTCCTCTTGACTTTGAAATAAATTGCAAACTTAAAGGATATAACAAATTACACTTATATAGAAGAAAAATCATTCCACACTGGTACTTCGATCGTCATAAGCATCTTTTACTGTATGTAGCTCTCTGTGTTCCAGTTCTTTGATATTTAGTAGATAAAGACAATTCTTTGCATTACCCCGGTACTAAGTTTGGGAAAATCAAACCCTTGCAGATTTGTATGCTCACTCTCTGAAGATTTATAAAGAGAAGTTAGTGGTGTTCTACTATTCTTTAGAGGAGCCTGATAGCCCTGGTTCTACTGCACACATGTCACAGGTCAGCTACACATATTTTCAAGCTATTCTCCATCTATGCTAGCCACGTGTTTCTGATTCCATAATTTCTTCACAAACCATTGGCCTATTATGTTATCAAAGGTTGGGGGTTTTTTTCCAAGAGAAAAAAAAAGTCAAGGGTCCAAAAATATATAAGACTTATTTGAAAAAAGATCTCTCAATACATGTACTTGTGATTGATTTTATCTATATTAATTTATGCCATCTCTTTTTGTAGATGTTAAGAGCATTGAATGATGGGAATCTGTCTCAGTCACAAGCAGGCACTGTTAGCATCAGTAGTTACTTCCGGAAGAAAAATCCTTCTTCCGCATCCATCAGAGACAAGAAAACTGAGTTATCCAAGGAGAAAATCAACACAGAATGTACAGACGGAAGGACTAAGGAAAAAATAGATCAAGCAGATGTTTCAGATCATACTGTAAAACACCAGGCAATCAAGAAAATGTGAGTTTATGTAGTATTGTAGATTACTTGCTTGTATAATATAATATGTAGCTATAATTTTGATTTTACTGGTTGAAGAGGAGAAGGGGATATGTGTTGGTTAACGACTCTGTTGCATGTATGTGCCTGTGGTTGTCTGATTGTGCAGTGTTAGTTAATTTAATCATTAATTTCAATAAAACTAGTTACATTCAATTGTACAGTAAAACTTGTTTAGTACGAACATGGATATTGCGAATTCACGGATATAGTGAAGTTATCTTGGATCCCCAGCTATATAGATTTAAGGAATTCCTTATACGGATATACCGGTAAACAATTATGGATATAGCGAAGTAATTTTATAGATCCCAGTGACTTCATCATAACCAAGATTTACTGTAATTGGTTTCTGATCATGATGAATATAGTGTTTGAAGTAGGCCTTTCAAAGAACTTTTTATAGAGGTTATCTTATTACATTAAAGTCTGGTGCACACATAGGCTTTTCTTGTAAACTGTACACTTGTTTATACTTTCTTTCAAAATAGTGTGAAACGTTGTGCACCGACTCTGTCAAGAAGAATGAAACATAGGAAGATGGTGGCTACAGACCCTAAAGCAGCAGATGTTTATGACTTTGAGGATTCTAGTGATAGTGTGGACACAAAAAATACCTTGGATTCTGTTGAGGTGTCAAATGATGAGTGTGATCAACATACATGTGCAGAATCGAGGGTGTCCTTAGAAATGGAGGATCGGTGTTGTCAGGACAAAGGATCAACTTCCAAGATTCTAGCTGAAACTGCCTCCAGAAGTTGTACAGATTTTGATGATTCTTCAAGGAGTTCTTCAGGAGGAAGTTTGACAGGTAGAAATGTGGGTCAAAATATGTCAGGTTCATCTGAAAAGTCTTCGGAGAAGGATTCGAGTGTAGTGATTGAATCTGATAGCAGCAGTAGCTGTGCAGTTGACAGTGCTTTCTTTAAGGAAAACAACAGTAGTGAAAGTGGCAGAAACCCTGTTATTCTAGCAACTTCTCCCAGTGAATCTAACAAAATGAAAGTAGATTCTGATGAGGCTGAGGATAGTGAAAGAGCACAACTCTTATGCAACAACAGGGACACTCGTGTGTATTCTTGCTCAGAATTACCAGAATTTAGTTTTCTGAAAAGGACTTCAATGTCAATGCCTCAGAATCTAAGGGAGGGAACTCTGAATCAAAAATCAAGTGATGATTCAGACACAGAGGTGATTATACAAGATTCAAGTGATGGGCCTGAATCACCCAAATTTGACAGAGTGGTAGGTGATAGACCATTAAAGAGATCTTCCTGTGTGTTGAATTCTTCTACTGACGATCCAGTGTGTAAAGAACAGAGAGGGGAGATAAGGCCAAAGTTGAAAAGGCAAAGGGTCAAAGACAGTGTGTATGATTTTTCATCAGACCAATCAGAGGAGAGTGATAATTTACCAAATGTAGAGGAAAGGAACTCCTCTAAAGACATTGAACTGAATGAATGGGACGGACTGCCTGTTTTATCCTCTAGTCGGAATTCCAAAAGAGAGAAAAATGACAGGAAAAGCAATAAGAACTCTGAAATTGGAACACAGGATAAGAAATTGATCACAGACCCTCATCAAGATGAAACAAAATCAGAATCTGGGGATCCCATGGATCAGTCGGGTTCAAGGAAAATCGTACTTTTTAAAAGACCAAGCAATAATGTGGAGAAAAAAGATACCAAACCTAGAGTGTTCTCATTCAAGAAATCCACAAACTCCAACAAAGTGAAAAGGCAGTCTATCTTAAACTTCCTCACACTCAGCCAGCAGGAAGAGGCGAGTGAGGAGGAGAAGGATGAAGAAGAGGGGGATGGGGCAGATTCCGGGGGTCTGGACTGTGTTATCATTGACGGACTGGACGATCTCAGAGAACCCGAGTTCAAAGATGAGGAGTCGATAGCGATCGAGAATGAGATGAATACTTTAAGGTAAATTTTTGTTCTTGTTGAAGAAGAATCCCTTTATTCTTAAATGTATTTTTTTTTTATAAAACCTATGACACAAGTGTGTGTGATTCACACACTTTTAACATTCGCTATCTAAAAAATATTCTTTAAACCAAAAAAAATTTAAAAGTAGCACTTGTTTATTATACATGATGGTATAACTGTTACACACATATATTTTTTTTTATTTACTGAAAATTATATTTTTAAATTGATACATATATCACTGCCTGTGGTATCAACTCCTGTGGTATACAAGAAAAAAAAATAAGATGGAATCTATGAAATTTTAATGAAGGAAGCATTCTCGAACAATAATTTATCAATTTCAAACATATTTCTCGGTAGATGATTATTTCTTGGTTTAATTCCTAATTTATTAGATAATGTTGTTTTGTTTATTTTGAAATAGGAAAGTAGATGAACTAAATGAGCAGCAATTACATTATCTGGTGATGAAAAACAAAGTCTATCTACAGGATATATTCTCAGGAAAGGTAATTAATAATATTTATTTATACATTGATTAAGGTATTGCTTCTTCCTCAATGAATAATATGAAAGCATGTCATAAAGCTTATTTATAAAAGAGTTAAAATTACTTTCTGTTAAGGCATTGAAAAAAACAAAAAAATTTGTTTTTTAATTTTCAGTAACATCATGTTACTTTTTTTCTTGAATTTTCAAAGATTGCATCAGACAGACATACAGTTTACAGACAAGGAGGAAAGGCTAGAAGTAAGATTTATATTTTGTTCAAATTTTAAAAATTAGGTTATCTAAAAAAAGCTATAATTGATCACATTTTCAAAGAAGTTAATATTAAAAAAAAAATGTATGAAATGGTATAAAAATATATCTTTTTTGAATAAAATTTTATGCCTTAATAATTAAGACAACATATGATCTTGAGATTTATATTTAGACTAGAAAAGGTTGTTTCTCATGATCCCTGTAAAGTTCCACTTAATATCTTGTTTAGAAAATGTTAAAACTCATCACAGTTCTTTTATAATAGATCTTGCCTAGTAGAAGTGTATCTAGACATCATTGATTTTCACTGAATTGAAAAAAAAAACAGATCAGAGATATACCATTTTACATTTGAAGACTCATCTTTGTCAACAAAAAAATGAATAAAATACAATGAACAAAATGGAAAACTGTGTCAAAAAATGAAAAATTCTGTTTAACCATTTGTTGAATATATTATAATACATGTACCGTACATGAAATTTTGCAATTATCAATCCATAGAAAACCAATTGAACAGTTCTATGAATGGCAGTATGAATTGCAGAATTAATTTCCCTTTGCAGGCATTGCTCTCAAAAAACTTGCACATTGAGGAGACTTGGTTTTCATGCAGTAATTTAATTTTTTAGGGGACTTAAATCATCATGTTCATCTGGGATTATTCACAGAGGATCAGCTTGATGTTGTCATGGAAACCCTAATGTCAATATTTTGCAAAAAGCACCACAAGGTTATTCTGATTTTACTTTGAATGCTGTTGTCTTCCAACTCTCAATAAAGGGATATAATTTTTCTTAATTACTTAATATATAATTGAAAATCTAAAGATTCTGAATTAATATTTTAGGTACTGTAAAATCCTGTCATGTGTTTTCTATTAAAATATTCTATTAATTCTTTTAATATTCAATTAAAACAGTCTATTGAATAGTAGTCACTAGACTTAGAGCTTTGCTTATCTGTTTATTACAGTACCTGGAGTACATAATGAAAGTCCTTCTGCCGGAGACTCTCATCAAAATCTACATGGACCAGCACAATGTGTCCCACAACAGAGCAGAGGAAGACATAGTTGAAGCTCTCACTATTCCTGGAGGAATCCATATTTGATGTGACCTGATTAAGGGACAAATTCTGATCAGAAGTCATTGTATTAGGCATGGAGTTATCTTTTCTGCTCCATTACGGACGTCAGTTAATACCATCAGGAACCTATATATAAATATAGATCCTTGATACCATATCACTTTCTCATTTCTCAGGGAAATGAAGCTAGTCATGAGTTATCTCCCTCTGTACTGCAATTGGCATTATCATTTTTAAAAAAAAATTTTTTTTACAGAGTATAGGCAAATTAGACTTATAATTTGTTCTTCCTTTTAGAAACATTCTTTTCTTTAGATTGTTGTTCATGTATATTGTTATATGAATGTCATATACATGTTTTATTCAACAATTTCTACCATACAATCACATATATTTTGAAAGTTACAGATCTTTACTACAGAATTTTAAGTTTAAATCTTATTTGGTTCTTTCAAGTTTTTCCAGTGAACAAATACAAATGATATGACAAACGTGTAATTTTGAATAAAAATATGTTTGATGGGGAAATCTTCATAATTATGAATTGTTGATGAAAATTTGCTTGTTATGATATTAAATTTAATATTAAAAGGGCTCTTTTGTGAAGTTGTTTTATTATTGAAAATGCTGAATATTCATGAATATTAGTACCTGTATCTTTATATCAGTCAACCATTGTAATGTGGAACTTGATGTGAACAAGATTTTTTAACCTTTTTGAGATGGGGTAAAAACATGGTTGGTTCCTAAATCGCTTCAATATGTCCCTTGTAATCCAGATATCAGTGTGAGATAACTAAGTTTAATTCTCTATGCACAAAGTAAAGGAAGTTCATTTATTTAATGGATGGAGATAAGGACTGTGTTTTACAAATGAATATTAGACTATGACCAAAATCATCTCTTGCAAAGTAATTTATTTTCTATGCTGATAAAAAAAATGTTTGAATATAATGTGTAGAATTTGGTGACTTCACCAAGAAGTTGATTTGGGGGTGTATAGGAATCACCTTGTAGGTCTGTCTGTCTGTATGTCTTACAGACTATGCAAATGTGTCAGATCCATGTCTTTCTTATGGAGGAACACTAGAATCTACTACCTCAAAGATTGCTTATGACCTAATGGTGTGTCGTGACTTTAACTGAAGATCATTTAGGCAAGGTCATTGTAAGAAAATTTCCTAATTTGTGTCTGGTCCATATCTTTCTTATGTATAAACTAAGTGAATTCCCATTTTGCACAAAGATTACTTATGACCTGAGGGTGTATAATGACCTTGACCAAAGGTCATTTGTACAAGTTCAAGGTCACTGATTGAAAGAAAAATTCATAATTCACTTTTGGTCCATATCTTCCTCATGCAAAAAAATCTTGAATCTACTACTTCACACAAAGATGGCTTATGATCTGTGGGTGTATCATGACCTTGACCCAATTAAAGTCATTCAAGTTCAAAGGCACTGAAAGAAGAAGTCCTTAATTTGTGTCTGGTCCATATCTTTCTAATGGATAATTTTGATGGGTTCCTTTTTAGGTCACCTGAGTAAACTCAGGTGACTCAGGTGACCTATTGCTATCCGATTTCGTCCGTCGTCGTGCATCGTTCGTTGTGTGTTAACATTTGAACATTTTCAGCTTCTTTTCTGCAACCACTCAACCAATTTCCACCAAATTTTACACAAAGCATCTATGAATGAAGGGGAACAAAAGTTGTGAATTTCATGGTCCCTGCCTTCCTGGAGCCTGAGGGGTGGGGCCAAAACCACTAAAATTAGTGCAATCTTTAAAAATCTTCTTCTTTACTCCTGGACATCAAACAGTCAAACTGTTGGCATGAATGTAATGACCATTGAGTCCTCTACCAAAATAGTGAAATTCATGGCCCCAGGATCGGGTTTGTAGTGCTAGGGCGGGGCTCTATTGGTTATATAGTGAAAATGCATTATTTCTTTAAAAATCTTCTTCTCTGCTCCTGGGTATGAAATAAACTGACTAAGGACATAGTTATGATGAGGAAGAATGCCTTTTGCAAAATTGTGAATTTTAAGGCCGTAGGGTCAGGGGTTCTAGCTAGGGCGGGGCTCTATTGATTATATAGTGAAAATGCATTATTTCTTTAAAAATCTTCTTCTCTGTTCCTGGGTATTAAATAAACTAACTAAAGACAAAATTATGATGAGGAAGAATACCTTTTGCAAAATTGTGAATTTCATGGCCCCAGGGTCTGGGGTTCTAGTTTTAGGGCGGGGCTTTATTGATTATATAGAGAAAAAGCAGAATTTGTTTGAAAAGCTTCTTCTCTGCTGCTGGGTATTCAACAAACTAGCTAAGTATATATATTATGCTGAGCAAGAATGCCTCTTCCAAAATTATGAATTTTATGGCCCCAGGGTCAGGGGTTCTGGTGTTAGGGCAGGGCTCTATTGATTATATAGAGAAAATGCAGAATTTTTTTGAAAATCTTCTTCTCTGCTTCTGGGTATTCAAGAATAAACTAAGTATATAGTTATGATGAGCAATAATGCTTCTTCCAAAATTATGAATTCTATGGTCCCAGGGTCAGGGGTTCTGGTGTTAGGGTGGGGCTCTATTGATTATATAGTGAAAGTACATCTTTGAAAATCTTCTTCTCTGCTCCCGAGTATTAAATAAACTAAGTATATAGTTATGATGAGCAAGAATGCCTCTTCCAAAATTGTGAATTTTTATGGCCCCAGGGTCAGGGGTTCTGGTCTTAGGGTGGGGCTTTATTTATTATATAGTGAAAATACATTATTTCTTTAATAATCTTCTTCTCTGTTCCTGAGTATTAAATAAACTCTCTAAGTACATAGTCATGATGAGGAAGAATGCCTTTGTGAATTTTATGGCCCCAGGGTCAAGGGTTCTGTTGTCAGGGTGGGGCTCTATTGGTTATATAGAGAAAATGCAGAAATTGTTTGAAAATCTTCTTCTCTGTTCCTGAGTATTAAGCAGATGAACTACCTATATAGCTATGGTGAGCAAGGGCCATTCTTCCTGAATTGTGAATTTAATTCAATGCCCCTGGGTCAGGGGTACCATAGGGGGGGGGCTCTACTTATTTACTGAAAATGAATTAATTGATTGAAATCTTCTCCTTTGTAGTAATCAAATATTTTTGATAAGCAAGGGTGCCTTTTCCAAAATTGTGAAATGTGTGGACCAAAGGTCAGGGGTTCATGTATGGTAGTGGCACTATACTGATTATTGCTGAATATCACCGATTAGTTGAAATGCATTTTTAGCTCACCTGAGCTGAAAGCTCAAGTGAGCTTTTCTGATCACATTTTGTCCAGCGTCCGTCTGTCTGTCTCTCCGTCTGTCTGTAAACTTTTCACATTTTCATCTTCTTCTCAAGAACCACTGGGCCAATTTCAACCAAACTTGCCACAAAGTATCCTTAGGTAAAAGGGATTCAAATTTGTTCAAATGAAGGGCCACGCCCTGTTCCAAGGGGAGATAATAATGAATTAGTGAAAAAATAATGGCATTTTTAAAAAATCTTCTTCTCCAGAACCACTGAGCCAGGAAAGATGAAACTCATGTGGAAGCATCCTCAGGTAGTTTAGATTCAAGTTTGTTCAAATCATGACCCCCGGGGGTAGGGCGGGGCCACAATGGCCGACCAAAGTTTTACATAGCATTACATAGGAAAATTCTTTAAAAATCTTCTTCTGAAGAATAACAAAGCCATGATTGATCATATTTATATGGAATCATCCTCAGGTAGTGTAGATTCAAGTTTGTGCAAATCATTCCATCTCTCCTTTAAGGAATGGTTGGGACTACTTTTTGGTTTAAACTTTTCAATAATAAACTAATTTCTGCTTTTATGCTAGCCACAGTGCTCAGGTGAGTGATGTGGCACATGGGCCTCTTGTTTTTGTTCCCCTACTCTGTCTGTGGGTATTAAGTAACCAAACTAAACATGCTAACTGTGTAGTTATGATTAGAAATGGTGCCTCTTTCAAAATTGTGAATGCCATGGCGTCTAGTTTAAAACATGAACCAAAGTCAATCGTTGAAAGTTGTTGCATGGTGCTCAGGTGACCTATAAGGCCCTTGGGCCTCTTGTTTTATATATTAATTGTTTATGACCTGAGAGTATGTCATGACTTTGACTAAAGTCATTTGTGCAAGTTCAAGATCACTGAAAGAAAAAGTTCATAATGTGTATCCGTATCATTAGTATTGAGGTTTTAAATAGGCCATGCCTTAGTTTCATTTATTAAAAGTATATAATGATCAACTCTAAATGTTTTTTAAAAAAAAGTATAAGAGACTTGGCACCTTCTCTGAAAACCTTGCGGGTGGTATATGTCCCTCTTGGACAGTTCTAGTTCTATCATGGGCATTATCCTGCAAAATAATCAAGTTGAGGACTTATTAGAAAATTGATTTTTTTCAATGGTTAGTAAAGGAGGGCTGGTAACATTTTTGTCCGATTTTATTAAAACTGTAGAAAATAATACGACCGTGAAACAGCCAGTGCTATGATTTATATCTGAATATCAACTACAGGTAGGTGAAACGTCAAAATTTAAAAAGGGGGTTCCAGGACTTTGTCACTCAAAAAGTCTCTTTTTTTCTTTTCAAATAAAAAATATCACTGATTTTAAAATAATTTGTGACTTTTTATTTGGATTATATTGTTGGCTAGTAAAAATGGCACCGAGAATTTTTCATATTTGTTCGGTTTTATGACTGTGGGTTGCGTGCAATCTCATCATATAGACCACAGACACTGAAACTACCACGTTTGCTAGTCATTGATTTAGGAAAGTTGTACAATATTGATGGTCTGACTTTGACTGCTTGTATTTCAAAAGCGAAAGAAAAATAACTGTACGGAACAATGCAGGAATGTTACCGATTGTAACGACAGAATTTAAAACAAGTTGACATGAAAGCGCTTGTTCAGCAAGTTTCACATACACATGTATTCTTAAAATTATACTCGTCTCCATTTATACGTGTTATGTGTCGTAATAAGGGTTTTGGCACGAGATAATTAATTATAGGCATATTTACATTTTCAGAATATACATTCGATAAATACATGTATCTTGGGCCAAATAATTTTGTTGTCTCATCTCTGTCCGCCCTATTCTCTTTAGCAGTAAGCAAGTTTTCTTTGAGGGAGATCAACATGCTTAAAACAAACATTGTTCTTGAAAAGTTTGTCATCCCATGCAGAGTAAAGTACACCCGCCTGTCTTATATATAGAAAAGAAAAGAAGACGAATATATCCAAGCAACATTTTATTTTAAAACAACCGAGCGAAAAACAGCATGTTAAAATGACAACACGTGGGTCTATCACAGGTTTTTACAAATAAAGTACATGTACTTGTAACAGATTTAACAATCACAACAAAAATGATTGCAAATATGTATTTGAAAAAAAAAAAAACAGTTTATAGAAGTCATTCGTCACACTTCTTACAATGGATTTATTCATAGCTCCTTGGATAAACTGTCAGACTTGGTGGTTATACTTTAGCCGCCCCTCTTTTTGCTGCCATCCTTTCCTCCTTTCTGCTTTTTCCCTGATGCTCTTTCTTGGTCTCTTTGTTTTCGGCTTTGTCCTTTCTGGTGCTTGCCTTTGGTGCTGGGTCTTTTGTTCTTCGTGTGCTCGCTAGCACCTTTTTTCCCGCGCCTACGGGCAGCCCTGCTTATTGCTCTGGCTACTCCTCTAGCAACAGCACCCCAAATCGCATCGGCACCAGGAATTAGCAGACCAGCATGATCTGATATCAGCTCATTGCCGCTTAAAAAGTTAACCAGGGAGGTGAAATCTCCAACGAAAGCTAGTACGAAGAGCAAAACTAATGCCTTTTGATGGATCCTCATCTTGAGTATCAATGATTTGCAAGACCATGTAGACTGGTATTTATACTCTTCATTCAGCGTGTGCAAAATGGATGTTTTTGTTTTTTGAAGTTGCTGATTAACAAAAAAGACAGTGGAAAATACGTATCTACCTAATTATCATATACATTTTTCGTTGTAATTAAGTTTCAGAAAACGCAGACGATCACCTGTTTATACTTTCTGTTTCGTTTACGTAAAAGGCGGGGTTAATTAATTATGCCAGACTTAAGTGACAGTGAATCAGCTGATGTGTTATATGTTCTTCGTTGTACTTCCATGTTTTTCTATATCTTATTATTTTGCAATTTCAATTTGTACATAAAAAGTTTTATATGCAATTTATTTTTTTTAAATCAAAACTTGAGGGATCTATGAGCTGATGGTCCATTATTCTGGGATGAAAAAAGTTATTTACAATATTTATTACATGTATTTTAATGTTAAAACAATTCGGGAAATGACTACCTGTCGAAACTTTCTGTTTCGTTTACGTAAAAGGCGGGGTTAATTAACTACTTAGTATGCCCGACTCAAGTGAAAGTGAATCACCTGAGGTGTTTGGTTTTACCTCCATGTTTCATATCTTCTCCCAAATTTGGATTTTTTTTTTCAATAATTTTTTTTTTACTAGTATATAACAATTGTCATAAGCCTTTACTTTAAATCTTAATTTGAAGTATCTTCGAGCTTCGGTCCATCTTTGGTCCATTATTTTGGGACGAGAAAAAAGTTATCCACAATTACTATAAAATATATATTAATATTTAGACAATGGAAGATATGACTAATTCATTAAATTAATTGAATATCTTTGTCAGAATCTTAGGTGACTCTTAGACCGGTAAAAATAAAATTGACGTATGTTGACATCTGACCGCTATTTGACCCAATATCTAGACTGACGTTCCAGCATGGTTGTGTACGTCAGACGTTTGTTTTTCTTTTTCCGACAACTTAATAATAATTAAACAAAAATAATAATTAAACAACATAAAACATGACATATAACACTAAACAACAATTAATAACAAAACATATTTATGTTGCTATTTATTTACAAAATTTGGAACGCTGAACTAGTCCACGTGCACTTAGTGTCTGAAATGTTTTTACTCTTTTTTTTTTTTAAATAACTTTCGTTATTTTTATAATTCTTAAAAAATTGTGAATTTTATATTAATTATTTCTTAAGTCTTTAGTATTCAATATCAGTATATCAACTCTTGCAGTTAATTTTTTTTATGAATTGTATGCATACGCATGAAAAAACATTAAGGTTAAAAATAATTGAACATTTTTTCTACTTTAACAGATACGGTATTTCACAAAAGATGTATTATTCCATAATGCCCATAACATGCATAAGTAAAATTATTTTTGATAAATTTTATTCCTCATAAATACTTTTTTCCTTGCTTGAATTAATGATAATTATTTGCCTAGGGTCCATATGTAAAATTAAGGCGTGGAATTTGTCACAAATCAAGTTTATATTTATATGGTCTTATTACCAAAAAGGCAAAGAGCAGAACGTGAGAGCGGTTTCTTGATCGTGTTAGAACGTTCTAGATTGACCTGCTGACTTCATTTTTCAAGTCTGGTAAAATATTTTGCACTTAATTCACAGTTTTGATTATTCGATGCAAATTCATATCATTTTACTGATGGCTCTCTTGACAATTTTATATGTAGAATTTTCACATTCATCTATGTAGTCATTTAATTTTTCGACTTAATATTTAATTTTTTTCGGAAATTATTTATTTCCTTGTCAATCTCAGATATATATAATTTCTTTAAGCTAAAGTTTAAAGTGTTTGAAGGATTGAAGATTTATATAAAATTACATTTGTTTCAGCCACCTTAAAAATTCGAGTCACTCACTTAATCTTTTTCTTTAATTTAATTTGTTTCATTTATATCCTGCACGAACAGTGAACACAGAGAAGCATATACATGTATTATAACTTTATTATTTTTCAAATACTGATTGAATAGGTTAAATGCATGTGTTTGTATTTAAAAAATAAATAAGAATAGGCGTTTTGCAAATTGCCATCCCTAGTTTAATCAAATGAACCAGTTTTAATTTATTTCTAATATATATTTATAAAGTTTATGCACATTTTATGCAAATAATCACATACTTTCGGCATTTATAGATAAAAATTATTGATCCAAATTCAACCTTACGCAATGAAGAAAACCACAAAAGTACATATTAAAAGTAATTTGTATTAAATTAATATATATAACATTTTTGAATCCAGTCATGTGCTTTAACATCACATTTTACAAACGATGTATTTGTATAAGATTTAACCTTGAATTAAGAATTCAAGTTGGAATAATTTATGAACAAGTATAGTGAATTGTTCAAGCGATCCAGTCTTTTTTCTTCATTTCGCTAAGAGCACGTGTGCAAACTCTGCAAAAAGAAAAAAAAATTATGTAGGTGTGAATTTTAAAAATTTACTTCGAGGCAGGTTGTCCTGAGTTATTAAGTTATATCGTTTCCCGTTATTCATTTGAAAACAATACAAAATATAGTTCAAAATAACTTCAAATCAACTGAAATTGCTTTATTTTACAGTCAACCTATCGATACTCTTTATTTCGATTAAAAAGAACAAGGTGTGGTAATTGTCACCATTTGGCCCCTACTTTGGTGTAAAAATCAGAACGCAATTAACATTGTGGTACTTTGCAAATTTGATAGGAAAACAAAATTGTTTTTGTTTTAGATTCAGTATTAAATTCTATACAAAGCGTACATATAGGCCACGACAAAAAGAACATTTTAAAATTTCGATTCTGATGAAGCTTGTGCTGTATGTTTTTGTGATATAAAACGTTGAAAACATGATGTAAATTACTAGCAGGTGAATACGAGAAAATTAGGAAAATTACAAAATCTTTGTCCTTCTTGTGACCTCTATGTATAATATTTCTTAAAAGTGATATTCATATCGTAACAAGGATGGAAAACGTTTTTATTTAAATGATCTTGTAGACTTTTCTTTAAAAAAAATTTCCCAAATCAGAGAATCTTAGGCCGAAAAGGGTCGAGTCTATCTTGTCCTTTAATCCGCTCCACTACATATCCTACATATCATTGAATGGCCTCCGACTTTTAACCGTTGTTTAAGAATACAATGTAATCCTACATGAACGTTCTAACGTGCAGATTAGGTTCTGAATGAAAGTTTCTGATAAAATAAAGTTGATTACTTGCTTGAATCAATAACCACGATTAATCTTTCACAGTCGAAAACTTCTGAAATATTAGTGCATGTTGCACTCTTTGTAAAGTTTTAAACTTATTTAATTTAATGACATGTGAAGGTTAAATTTCAATAGTACGTATGAATTGATTAACGATTCGAATAGAAATAAAAAAAAAAATCTTACCTATACACGCTTAATAATTCTTATTCAAAATGTGTGTGTGTGGGGGGGGGGGGGGGGTAGCCAATTATGAGGACAGAATCATCGGCTAAATCTTAAAGCTTCCTATATTATTGTAAAACAAACAACCTGTCTCTTTTATGTCTACCTTTATAATTGATTTGACCATCCCCATTCATATCGGCGGCTCGAACCATTTCATCTATTTCTTCATCTCGTAGCTTCTCGCCAAGATTCGTCATCACGTGACGTAGCTCCGCGGCGCTAATGTATCCATTGCCTTCTTTGTCAAACACAGTAAAGGCGTCAATGATTTCCTCTTCTGTGTTCCTTTCGTGTCGATGTCGCTCAAACATTGCAAGAAATTCTTCAAATTCCACTTGTCCTTTTCCTGGAAATTATTATATAGAGAGTATATTTGTATAATATATCCAGGGCGCTAAAATTGATACTGTTATTGTGAGGCTTTATTGACCATACAGTGAAATTACATATATTCTTTAAAAGTATCCTTCTTTGCTCTTTGACAGACAAACTAAGTGCCTGAAATGATAAACAAGGGTGTTTCCACCCGATTGGTCACTGAGTTAGGAGTAGTTATTCCCCTTTGATTGTATAGTAATCCTAGTAATTTACTTAGATGACCGTTAAGGCCCTTGAACCTATTTTTTCATTGCCCCCTTTTTAATTGTAAGACATTTACCATCTATATCGACTTCCCTGATAAGTTGTCTGACTTCTGCCTCCGATGGATTACACCCCAGTGAGCGTACCACTGTTCCCAGGTCTTTGGTTGAGATCTTACCATCGTTGTCCATGTCAAACAGTGAAAAACATGCCTGCGCCTCTGTAAGGAATAATAAAAAAAAATATAATACACATATAGTAAACATGTATAATATATTGTTTGAAAAGTGTTCTATATTAGGGGAAAAACCTCTATATTAGGAGGAAACTTTAAATATCTTTTCATATTATATGTATCTGCATGTGTGGCGCTTTGTGTTGTTATGAAGCATTGATTTGTACAAGTTTGTATATATCTGCCTAAAAAGGGACAATGGCTTTTTAAAAAATGTCAGAAAATGTGTTCGGCTGTATTATTGCAATCATACTGCTCGCATGCTCGACTGAAAACAGGAGTGATTTGATATACATATATTGTGGTGTCTATATAAATAGATGATAAGTGACTAAAGTGTGGAGAGGGGTGGGTCGGGGTGAGGTTACGCATTTTACTCTACCTTTCAGTTCTTCTTGGGTTAATTTTTGTGCCTGAGAAAATAGCTCTGATGAAAACAAAAGCTGACCCCATAGATTTTCTTAACGGTGTCCGTTGACACGCTACACCACATATTTGTTTATATCAAAATCATGATCACTCTCAAAATAAACTTGACTTAAATCCAAATATTGATGCTAACTTGAACGATTTCTTTCCGGACTTAAACAGCAAAATTCTTACCATTCTGACTGAGATTCTAGGATTATCAAGTTCTGAGCCGCCCAAACCTCGCCCCCTCAAGCAGTTTTATCTCTTCACAAATATCTATATATATATATATACTGTGTAACAGATTGCATATAGACTTTAATCAGCTGTTATCAATACAACATCCTCATACTAGCAATAAACTTAAAATTACAGTAACTGTTGTACGGCATAATACATTTTCATTCTGATTCGATTCAATCACAGGTCGTATCCTGGTCCAAGGATTTTTTTTGGGGGGGGGGGTGTAAATTATTCTTGACAATCATATATATAGAATCTGTTCAAAATGAAAATAAACAAGCTATAATTGTGAACAATGATGTCCCCCGTATAATAGCTTGTGGCTATGATTGAAGTTTCTCAAATGCAAATAAACTCCAGAGTCAAGGTTAAAAGGTAAAAAATTATATCGTATCATAGAGAATAAACCTGTGAAATACGAAAGGCCTAGTTCTAACTGTTCAAAAATTCAAAAGCTATGCCAAAGTTCAAGTTTTTAAAAAGTGGGGCACATTCTAAGGTCAAGGTCAAATTAAAGGTCAATGATATTTATAACTTGTATTCATTAACAGGACATGTCACATTGAATACACATGTGAAGTATGAAAGTCCTAGCATTAATCATTCCAAAGTTATGGCCAAGGTTTGTTTTTTTTTTTTTTTTTTTTTTGTAAAAAGGGTATCAAACTTGAAGTTCAAGGTCTAGAGGTCAAATTAAGTGGTACCCAAGGAATAGACATGTCACAAGGAACTCACCCGTGTAATATGAAAGCCATTGGCCTATCCACTCAAAAGTTATGGGCAAGGTTGAAGTTTTTTGCGGAAAAACTGACAAAGAGACAGACAGCTAGGGAAAAAATTTGATGCCCTTGATGTCAGGGGCATAAAAAGGCTAAAAATACTATCGAATTAAATTTCATTAATATTATAACGCAGAATTAAACTTGAAAAACAAGATGTATTTTTGAAACGCTGATGTCCCCGTATGGCAGCTAATTGCGGTTTCTAAAATGCAAGTCAAGATCAAAGTCACGAGGTCAAATTTGTTGATATGAAGAGGAAGGGTCATTTCACAAGGATAACACTTGTGAAAAATAAAAGCGCTGGTACTAACTGTCCAAAAGTTGTGGCCAAGGTTAAAGTTTTGTATATTTTGGTAAAAGTACATGTAGGCTCCAAGGTCAAGAGGTCAAATTTCGTGATACTCAAAGAAAGGTCTTGTCACAAGGAATACACCAGTGAAATATGAAGGCCATAGCCCACCATTTAAAAGTTATGGACAGGGTTAAAGTTTTGCGGACAAACAGACAGGCACACAGACAATTTTACTTGCCTTTTGAGAAACGTGACCTTGGCTATAAGCTGTCAGACGGGCGCATCAGTGTCTTATTAAATTTTTTGGGGGGTTATTATTAGTATTTTTGTGATATTATTTTTTTTTACCGAATTAACATTCATTGAAACAATTTGTTCGCTTACTCATTTATTTCTCTATTTATTCAATAAGACAAATACCGGATTCTAGAATGATATTGGTTCAGAATTTCGGCCTGCCTAATTGAAGACCTACAGGTAATTGAAGACCTACAGAAGACCTACGGAAGACCTACAAAAATGGGGGATATATACAGCAAAACTGATATGATATTCTGATTAAGCATGTCCTAAATATGTAAAATACACAAAAAAGTTTTATAAAAAGAAGTTTTAAAGTGTATTTTTTAAGCTCGGTAAGGGGAACTATTTCTTCTCTTAGACGACCTACGGCAAGAACGATAACTCTGGATGACTTGTCTTGTAAACAACAACACGCTCATTTATATTGTGAAGTTTATAGGAAGAATATGTATATGACAAAATAAAAAAAAAATTGCAAATGATTTTGTTGAGTTTTTTAATTATGAATTATGATAAAGAAATCAGCTGGATGATGAATTTTGATGAAGTTAAAAATATAAATAATTATCATGATTATTTCATTTATCAAATTAATATTCTACTTGAAATCTATAGTTAATATTTAACAAATATTGTAATTCTTTTAATATGTTTTATGGGATAAATATTAAATATTCAAGTTCAAATTATTGACGTGTATGCTGTGGATTTGTATCAATTAACCAATATTACTCTGTACTAAGGGCTTCGATCTTCACTAATTTGTTGTATACACAGTCACCGTGAGGTTATATCCGTGTTTTGATTGCAATTATATCAACACACCCCACTTGCTCTGATGAATGTTAATTTGCAGTCAACAGAGCAAAGATATAAAAAAAATATATTTATTTTATATCTTTAAAATGTTAGCAAGAATAAACAAATAAAATCATTGTGCATTTATTCAGAATATAACTTAATAAAATGAATAACGTTTTGATTTTTTTTTTTAATATTCAAAATGGTCATCTTTTTTCAATATAACTCATTTATATGACATTCACGAGGAATATTTAATAACTTAATTAAATGTATATTTCCAGATAACATGCTGTAAGCCAAGAAATAGGCACTATAATATGAAACATAAGGTTTTATTTCTTTTACATTTTGAGCTAAAATATACATGTACATTATATCAATCTTGAAGATACCAGGTAATGAGGTATATCATTCAATAATTAAATTAAAAGAAAATACACACTTTTTAAAATTGAATAAAATAATAAACATTCATGTCATCACACAAATGCATGCATATTTTTAAAAAAAATTATGATGCTTTGACTCGGGGGAAATAAGATTTTGAAAGTGATTATGTCTGTATTCTTCTTGAAAAATTACTTCAAATTCTTTTAACTGCAATTTTAAAATTTTCATTCTCTACATAAATGCAAATCTTATAAAAATTTCCAGATGTTATAAATGACATTACTAGGTATTATTAATAACAAGAACACAAATCATTCTATCACAATGAATTTTTATTAATGATCAACAATTCAAACCTGAACTAAATATTATACTGATCTATTTATAAACACATATAAAATACTAAATATAACATATATACAAGTGTATGTAATTATAATGATTTTATGATTGACATATGATGGTATTATAAATTATGTACAGTGTTTACAATTTTAATGATTTTAATAACTAATTATTTTTTTTTTAACAAAAGAGAATTGTATCTGACTGAATATTGCATTTTATTATTTTTTTTTTATCTTTGATTTATGTATATAAAGTATCTCCAATGATTTTTTTTCGTCCTTTAATATTATTTTTTAATTACATTTTTCTGATAATTACATTTTCTTGACATGTTTTGGTGAACAGCTGATTTGTTATTTACGCGAGTTATCGTTCTTGCTGTAGGTCTTCTGAGAGAAGAAATAGTTCCCATTACCGAGCTTAAAAAATACACTTTAAAACTTCTTTTTATAAAACTTTTTTGTGTATTTTATATATTTAGGACATGCTTAATCAGAATATCATATCAGTTTTGCTGTATATATCCCCCATTTTTGTAGGTCTTCCGTAGGTCTTCAATTACCTGTAGGTCTTCAATTAGGCATTCCCCAGAATTTATGTGTTGTGTCAAAACAAAAATGGCGCATGTTTTGAAAGAAGACAAGTTGAGACTCGTTCTTTGATAATATTGAGTGTGTGTATTGTATATATTCCATGATTTGATTCCATAAATTTAAAGATATATAAACATTCAATAATTTAAAGTGTAATTTATTGGAATAATTATTTGCACAATAAGAAAATATCTGAATGAATATTGTTTCCAAAGAAGCACCTGTTTGGGTCGTCTCCCTTTGTCCTTATCCATTGTTTATATTTCGGGTATTCTTCGCCTTTATTTAGTTTTGATTAATCTAATTTAATTTGTCTCAGTGCATTAATAAAATATTTATTGTTTGAATATCTGGTTGTACAATTAGTGGGTAATTAATTAATTACTTGAAGGTGCGGGATTATTTTTACCTCCACACTGTGGCATGCATAGACCTGTATTCTGTATGACATAGTTCCTAAGGAAAACAGTATGTCAGGCGAGGACGCTGGGGATTAACACGAGTTTCAGGTTATGTTGTTATCCCATCATCTGAAAATGTAGATAAATTATGACAATCTACAAGTTTCCATTGGATTAATGTTGTGCATGGGAGCATTGACAAAATATTTGCAGTGAGTATTTCAGATTTTAGTGCATGTATGCCTAGCATATATACATGCAAAACCCCATATTTGAAAATTCTTTTTGAACTTAAAATACAGAGGCATGCTATGTGTAATTTCAAATACAAATTTATACAAATATATATATGTATTATATGCCATAAGATATAAAAACAAATTGAAAAAAGATGAATTGTTGATAATGCATATGTGTATTCATATTAATTTCCATTATTTGACATATAGTGTCATTACAACAGTATATTGTAAAAGTAAGCATTCATGATTTGTCAAGCACACATGTAGACATTCCTGTTTCATGTATTTATTCTTCATGTTATATATATAGGAAATATATTTTCCTGAAATAAAATTGTTTTTAAAAATTTTATTTATGTCTGTTATAGATCTTGATTGCAAGGTACCTCAATGTGGAAAGATGGATGATAGAATACACAGAATAAATGAAAATCTTCAGGTAAGTCTTACCATTTAGACATAATTTGGTTTTTAATTGTATCACAACACAAAATATGATAGAATATTTTTTTATTTTCCGAAAAATTCTCAGCAGAATTTATAATAATAAGTTTTATTTATGCATTTAAATTTTTCTAATTTGCCTTTACACTAATTAGTTGAATACATTTTCTTTCTTGGGATTTTGGGGAATCATGTAAAGAATTTGTCATTTTCTATTTGTCTGGTGAGAGATTTTTGATTTCTTTCGTATTCCTCACTGCATGGTTATAAGAACTTTCTTAATTCCTTCTTTAAAATACATGTAGTAATTTTAGAGAGAGATGATCAACTTCAATCATAAATTGCCTTAATTTTTGTTGCAATGTACATGTATTAGATGATGATGAAGTTTCCAGAGGAGCAGCCAGGACCCTCCACTGTCTTAAATCTGACCCATTGAATATTCCCATGTTCCCCAAATGGGTGTTAATTTTCCCAATTTTTATGTCCCTGATAGCTTGACCCCATCAAAAAAATGCCACAAGAGTCTTGGCAATAGCAGTGATCAAAATTTGTCCGTTGTCTGTCTTTGTTGTTGTCGTTAACTTTTCACATTTTCATCTTCTTCTCACACTGCAGGCACACCTTGGGTGAAGGGGATGTTTGTTCAAATGAAGAGTTTGTTCGCCCTTTTCCACATGAATTTGTTAAAAATTAATGGCATTTTAAAAAAATCTTCTTCTCCAGAATGCAGGAAAGATGAATTTCACATAAAAAAAAATTTTGTTCAAAAAACCCAAAATGGCATAAAGTTTTACATAGGAATATATAGGAAAAATCTTTAAAAATCTTCTTCTCCAGAAAAAAAGATGAAACTCATGTGGATTTTTGTAGATTCAAGTTTGTTCAACAAATTTATTTAAAAATATAGGAAAAATCTTTAAAAATCTTCTTCTCCAACCACTGGGCCAGGAAAGATAAAAAACAATATTGAGATTTGTTCAAATCATGACCCCCGAGAAGGGTGGGGCCAAAATGGCCGATTTTACATAGGAATATATAGGAAAAATCTTCTTCTCCAGAACCACTGGGCCAGGAAAGATGAAACTCATGTGGAATCATCCTCAGGTAGTGTAGATTCAAGTTTGTTCGACCCCCGCAGGTCAAGGTCATTATATAGGAAAAATCTTTAAAAATCTTCTTCTCCAGAACCACTGGGCCAGGAAAGATGAAACTGTGTTCCTATATTTATATTTTATATAAGTCTTTATGAACCACTGGGCCTGGAAAGATGCATGTGGAATCATCCTCAGGTAGTGTAAATTTTTTTTAGGGTGGGGCCAACTATTTTACATAGGGATATATAGGGAAACCTTTTAAAATCTTATCAAGTACTTCAAAGCTATGATTAGTGATATTTATATGGAATCATCCTCAGGTAGTGTAAATTTGTTCAAATGATGAACGCCTGGAAAGGTGCTCAGGTGAGTTTCTCTTGTTCAGTAACACTGCAGCAACCTGAACATATTACAAAAGAATGCACAATTTCACAAAAAACAAGCATAAAAAAAGTATAATTTTTGCTAACAAACATTTAAAAAATTTCAACAATAAAAAACAATATTGAGATCTAGGATAGATTGGTAGCATTGAAGGTCAAGATTCATTTTCGGCAGGTCAAGGTCAGTGTGAACTGTGTTCTATATTTGTATGTTGTTTATGCTATGCAAACGTGATAAAAAATTTTTTTTTAACTATTTGGGATGGGTCTGGTATGGATTCAGTGGGGAATATCATTGAAATAGAGCAAAGGGCAAGTTTCTGTCATACATGTCATCAAATGAAATTTATTTTTTGTTCATAAATCTGACATAATTTCCTATGAGATGAAACACACTTCCCCTTTTTTTAGATGTCATTTTTGAATTGCCAAATACATGTATCACCATCATGACCATAGAAACATTGAATTGAGATTCATGAGAAATCAAAGTTTTTTGGCTATGGAAATGGTACCTTTTTTGAATACAAATGAATCAAGTAATGGGACACACTTAAAAATCTAAATGATTGAATGATAATGAGTCCAAGACCTCTTTATTCATGGGTAATAGTCCAAAGAGAGTTTATAGTAAATGAAGAAATATCATGAAGATGTGATTTTCAACTTGTATTGATATTTTAATGCATATCAACAAATTCTTGAAGAGGATTTATTTTCACACATTAAGAATCTGAAAAAAGAAATATTAGAGTGAACTTTTGATAATTCAATTTCCTATTCCAGGTATAATCTTCAAAATTTAATATCTTTTCATTGAAAACTTTGACTAGTTATTGTTGAGGGCCCCTCACTATGTTTTATGGCATGCGAAATGTCCAAAAAAGCTTTGAAATCAAATGTTGATCAAAGAGCAAATTTCTTAAGAAATAGGTGATTCATGTGGCAGGGGGATTATCATATCATTACGATAATCCAGTTTGGTCTAATCTGTGCTACCTGTGTCAAAAGAAGCATCAATTGAGAGTTTTTTATGGTCTGCTTGTCATATTGAGGTTTCCAATGAGTCTAATCAAGCACTCTTTTATATAGGAGGCTGGTTTCCTCGGCTGTTAATTTAATTGATTCTTTACTGTAGTTTTAAGTGATAGGTAAATAGTCAGGTAGAATTTATAGGAATTTTTACTGTCTCTTTGTCATGTTTGAGTTACAAATTATGCTGTTTGCATGGTAGTTTCACTTTTTATTGATAGTGATACTGAAGTTTTAAAACCATTTGTAAACAGGTGTGCTGATTTTCCTAAGTCACCTTAAACAATGTGTACTGATAGCTGAATTATAATATGGCATAGTATTGATTTGAAACAGTTTAATAGTGAGAAATTGAAATTCCCTTGCAGTTTAAATTGTCAATTTTTTTTTTTCAAATTTCAAGTGTCTGGTTTATAAGTAATTTAGATACAGTTCTAGTATAAACTTGTTTAGTTTTATATATAAAAATTAAGATCTGGAAAAAAGAAATTGTATTTGCATTTCATAGAGCATGATAGAGGTATCATATCATTTTACCTCTGCTATTATCAAAATTGATTTTGACATTCAAAATAAAAAAGTTGTAAAATTTGAAAATGAGACTTTATAGCAGATTGGGATTAAAATATTGAAAAGAAAAATGTAAAATCTTCTTGAATTTATGATTTTTAAATCCCTGGATTTGTACTGTGGTAATCCTTACAAACTTCAAGGATTTTGTAGAACTGATAGTTATTTCAACACAAAGAACAGAAAATTTTTTAGGTCATAAATTATTTTTTTATTAGGTAATGTTTTGAAAACTATACCTGCACTATGTATATTAAAGCCATAAACCAAAATTTTGAAAATCATTATGAAAAGACTTTGCTGAACATTTTAACTGGTTGAATTAATTAATTGATACGGAAAACATAGATTTCTTATACTGTCTTATGAATGTCACTGACATTGATGGCAGTGAAACGTAATATGCAATGCCTCTATGACTCTGCACAGTGAAGCAAACTGATTCCTTTTGAAGATATGCAAAAATAATTAATTTTTTCTTTAATTATAGCATTTTTATGATATAAATTAAATATTCAATGTGTATTTATAAGGGTACCACCAGAAACTTGCGCTCTCTGGATCATATGTTGGATGACTATAGAGATGTTGCCAGGGACCAACGCAGTGCTGTTGATAGAGTAAGGATCCACAAGTTTTTTTTTTTGCAAGAGTTATACATGTACTGTGAAATCACTAATTTTTGTGGATGTGTACTTTCGTTGTTTTCAAGGTAGGGAGCATCGTCGCAAACCACGGCCAAAATGTACGCTCGGTAGGGAGAGACCATCAAATTCATGACCACCTCAAAATATAAAATTTTATATGCATTTTTACTCAAAACTTCTCAAACCTCAAAATCGAATCCCCACAAACCAATATTTCTTTATCAAACCATAAAAATTTGGCTCCGCAAAAATATGTGATTTTACAGTCATTTCTGTATTTCATAGTTTCAATAAACTTCAATTATTAGCCCTTTCTCAATTAAGAATTTTGTTCTTTTTAAATCAAAAATATTTCTGCTTTATTGCATGTGCAATTTACAAATTTTAATTTTTTCATCAATTAGTAAATTCATGAAAGTTGAAAGTAAGTTTAAATATGGACAATGAATTCCGGAACTATTTTAACAAATTATTTAAGAGAATCATCTCTTAACTGTAACAGTATTCTGCAGTCACACATTGTTACAACTTTTTTATCCATAAATGTGTACTGAATTTTAAATATCTAAAGAAACTTGAATTGAAATGTCTCAGTTATTTTCTGATTACATTTATTAGTTTACAAGAGAAATTACACTAAAATTTGAATACACTAATGTATGTGTCTGTAAATGATGTTATTTTGTTTTAGCTGAGAGAGGACGTCGCAAGAACTCGGACTCAGCTACATGAGGAAAGACTCCGCAGTCCTGGTTACAGACATTACGAGGTAATATAAATATAGGTGTATGTAGGGAGCTATTTTGTCCATGGCGTATGTATTCATATATTTGTATATCACTGGTCTTTCTACTGCCATTCACTTTAACATGCTCATATAGATTTGTTATATACCTTAGTGTGGTACATGTAAATACATGAGCTATGCTGGAAATATAAATAAATCTAGTTGTGCTCAAGGTATTGAGAGAGAGAGAGAGAGAGCATTTAAATAAGAAGTAAACTTCATGCATATCGTTACATTTAAATACATGTATTTCTTAATAAATTATTCTTTTCTTTGGAAATGAACATCTTGGTGATATCTTATATATACATCTGGTTAAGAACTATTGTTTAAAAGTTTATTCAGTTTTCATCTGTACACATCTTCTTGTTCTGAATGAGTGTTTCGTGGATGAAATAAGAAAAGAAAAATGAATAGAATGTCAGGTAAAAAATGCTTGACATGTATGATTGAGAGGGGATTTAAATCTCAATCTAATGATTACAGCAGTTTTTAGACTTGGTAATTGAGTTTTAAGTCTTGAGGCATTCCGTGATTAGAATCTTTGTCACACACTAAATTTTGTTTACTTCAACATGTCTTGACTCACAAACCATTTCTGTCTATTTGATTTGGTTAACACTATTTAGCAAGAGGACGATACCCAAGATATGAATCAAGAAAATGAGGTATTCCTTATAGCATTCCCCAGACTTTTAGGGAAAAAAGAGTTCAGTCCAATCCTAACCTGTCTTTTAAATTTTGCCAATTATTTGAATATACTTGCAGTAATCTCAGTTGTGATATAAATACAATGGAGGTTTAAATCATGTCTGAAAGGTATCTGGGATTTTTGTTTATTCACAATTATCTTAACTGATTAATCCAAAGTCGTAGGTGAAGAACTGTATTGGCCTGAAGTCTTAACAAGATTTCTGATATTGCAGAAAATTTCGTCTACTTGCTTATAGTACATTTTATTTTTTTCAAGGCCATCTTTAAAAAATATTTGTTTGCCCTCTCTTGACTAATTAAAAATGGCCCAACTCAAAAAAATTTTAATCTGCAGGAAACAATATATTTTTCATCCCTGAATTTTCTCATCCATTCAACATGTTTGACATATTCGGAAAAAAAAAAATTCCTTCCTACCTACTGATCCAATTTTTTTAACCCTGAGTCGGGAGAGGGCAAACAAAAATCATTTTAAAAATGGCCCAAGTAAGGTAATCAAAATTTAATTCAAAATAACATTGTATATTGGGAAATCTATTAAGGTAGTACCGTTTAGTCAAAAATAATATAAGTCGAAATTCCATCACAGTTGAACAGGTTTATCAATAACGGCTGAATTATTCCTCTTTTGTATCGTTAACAGGGAGACATATATGCATCAAAGGTGATTTTTCAAAAATTGGCAGTAACCCTTGACCTTGTATTATAATTGATTGAACACTAACTGGATCTCTGCATGCCTGGTTTTTACATTGTTTACTCTCAACAGAAAAGTCAACTTCTACTCCATTAAGCATGTTAGGGTTATCCTTCATTCAAAACACCCCACTGACAAGTCATTTCATGTATTTAACTTACTCTTTAATCATTTAGTGTCATGCAGAATGTCGTGACTGAGCAGTTCTGCAATACATTATTTAAATATTTAAAAGGTGTACAAATTAAATTGCATGTAAATGAAAATTATTTATAAAGAATAAATGAGAGTAGCCTAGTTCATTTTGAAGGTTTTATTTACATTGTACCCCTTGAAAGTGATATCTGTATTTCTTCTAACAAAACCTGCATGAATTACTTACAGTATAAGCAGTAAGGAACATGAAAAATAAATATGCAGAGTGATATAAATTTAATGCCATTCTCGATACAGTACTGTTTTAAATCTGCTTTCACTTTTGAATGTAAAGTGAAAATATCTTCTTAATATGTTGTATTTGTTAAAGAAAAAGCAATTTGAAATGAGAAGGAATTTCATAGATTTCATTGATATTTGTTTTATATAAAAACAAAGTAAAAAAAATTTCATTGCAAAAGATGAATGTTCACTTGTTACTGTAAAAAGTTTGAAAACATTTATCTCACCAAGGGATGATTGTAAAGTCCATTGCTAAGTAATATTTCTTTTGAATTCCTACAGAGTGACAGTGAATATGAAGGATCCCCGTCCCCCAGCAGACGACGACGTCGCAGCAGACGGTCCACAGTGAGGTTTGCAGACGACATGAACAGAGAACTTCACGACCTGAACAGTTCGGTCCGAGATCTGTCCACTGATCAGTTTGAACTCAGGGGTCACTTCAACAGAGAGATGGATAGGAGGGAAAGGTCAGAGTTCAACTGATTTAAAAATAATTCAAGAAAAGGTTTAATCAAAGAGGTATTTTTTGAAGGGTGAAAAAAAAATTGTATCTCTGTAACAGAAACATTTTGTTGATCACCTGAAATAAAATAAATATTAAATGTTTTACAGATTTGATTCTGATACGAGAAGAACAATGAGGGAGATTTCTGAGAATCTGAAGAGACTGCCACAGACAGACCCGGTAAGATTCTCAAATCATATTTCTCCTCTAAAATTTCACTTATCAGAGGAGGACATAATTTATTACTTGGTTTACTTAAATGATGATTTAATGGAAGAAAAAAAAATGATACAATAAGAAAATGTATGCACTGAAATATGTGTCTTACAAAGATGCATGATTGTTTTCAGAATTATGCAGGGTAGTTGTAAATTAAGCTGTGTTTGATTAGAGGATATGTCTGAATTTGAAATATATGTACATTGTACCAATTTATTAAAAATGATTGTGAAGGTTGCTATGAGAGTGGAGAGTCGTCTAGCTTCCATACAGAATGAAATGAGGGCAGACAGACATTTAGGTGATCGCTATGATGAGTTGGCCAATCTGTCCTCTGACCTACGACATGTAAGTTCAAAAGGAGCCAATCACAGCTCTGTTTGCAAACAGCCAATGACATACTAAGTATTGGTCATTTGTTTCAGACAAAGCTGTGATCTAAGAAAATATAAAAGGATAAACATTAAGTGAATTTCATCTAACTTTTTTCAGATGGGCAGATATATCTATGTATGTTAAAAACTTTTTTGGATGGTTTGCTTTTTAAAAAGATGATATCATCTGCACCTACATGTAAAATAAGATATAAATGTGTGCTGTGAATTTTTCGTACATGTACTTTGGTATAAGGGTTATGCTATTGACTTAATGTAGGCTTTAAGAGAGCACCATCACATACAACAATCAGCAGCAGATGAGAGGATACGTAATCAATATATACAGGCAGAGGCTCAGAAACACAGGGTAAGGGAGAGCACTCTGTAGGCTTAAGGGAAAGGGGAAGCACTCTGCACCTGAAATCAATATCTTTACATAAATTTAATTTTTAATTTATTTACCAGATTTGAATTTATTATTAGTTGTAGAGAAATTATCAACTCTTCATTTTTTTTCCGTGTTCAAAACTTGATGAAATTTTAAAATGTCATTGACTTTTTTTAGATTGAATCTGACCTTGACCTTTTGAAAAGAAAATTGGACCAAAGTGAAGGTGGAAAAGCAGCTCTTCAAAATCAGGTAAGGCATTAAAAAAATCTCATAGCTTTATCTATCCTATATTGTGAACTGCAGAGTCTAAAACATATTTGTGTAAAGTTAGTAGGTTTATTATGCATCCGAATTCTGTCTCTAGGTTGAAGATCTAAGGAGTCAGTTGAATCGTATGGAGCAGGAAAGAGCTCGTGTCAAGTTACATATGGAAGAAAAACAGTATGAAGAGGAACTCAGAGAAAGGCGCAAGAGGCGTTCAGGTAAAAATCTTGACAGTAGATATAAAATTAGTGTGTTCCGATAAAAAATTTGGAGAGTAGATAAAAAACATGAGCAGTTTTAAGTGAAAGTTACTCAGAAGTTATATATATTGTCATTTTTATCACATTTGAAATACCTGTTATAAGATAATTTCATATGGACTTTGTGATCTTTTTTAGTTTATTTAAATTTTTTTAACCTTCTAACCATTTCTGGTTTATAATCATGCTTCTGTACCTCAGTTGAGGAGGATAAAGACAGAGAGAGAAAGGCCATGGAGAGAGAAATCTCAGACCTAAGGAGTCAGTTGTCCCGGGCCATTAGTGCTGGGAGTGAGGCAGAGGAACTCCGACGAGGAATAGAAAGGAGTGAAAGACAGAGGGTGCAACTCTCAGATCACATAGAGGTAGGGCAGAGGAGAATACTTACGTCATATTTGAACATTCATTTTCCTTCTATGTGTATGCTTCATAAAAATGAGTATGTCGATTTCTATATTTTCACTGTCTCTTTTCAACAAACGGAAACTTGTGCAGTGCTATTTAAATGATTGTAAATGACTTCTATAGTATTCCATTGAATGAGTTTGGTGTTTAATATTTAAATGTAATGAAGAAAAAGTTGAAAATAAAGGAGAATGAAATGTTCAGTTAGAGTAGGTTGCTATCATTTCTTCTATGAATTTACAGTTATGAAAAACTTCATTGTGTGTTGACTTTACTAACTTTAAGCAACAACTATGCCATATATATGCATGTCCATTGATAGAATAGTGAAAAATTATCTCAAGGTCTGAAATGAAATTCTATCAACAGACACTAACAAAGGATTTAGAAAACCGAGAGAAACAGACTGCCAAGTTAATTACTCAACTCAAAGAGGTGTCTGATAAATATGATGAGTCCGAGAGACAGAAAGGACAACTAATAGCTCAGTTTGATGACACGGCCCAGAGGTTTAAAGACTGTAACAAAGAACTAGACCGGGTGTCCACCGAGTTACGGAACACTCAGCAAGGACTACAGGAGACAGAGAGGAAGAGGGACGAGTTCAAAGGTCGTGCTCAAGAAACAGTACGACAGTAAGTAACAAGTTTCTATATAATGGCATTTTAGTGATAATTCAATTTCTTCAAATTTGTATGCAGATTTATTGAAAAAAAAAATTATTCTTTCGGATATGAATTCTTATACTGTGAAAAAAAATATTTAATGTTAAGTGTTTGAAAGATGGTCCAGCAACCATGGCAACCAGTAGTAAAATAAATTTTTTCAGGTTTTGTAAAATAAAGTAATTAAGATACCATGTAATTTATTTATATTCAGCAGTTGTAATTAACTATTGAGTCTTATTTGTATTCATGATACATTCTTAAAGATTTATTGTCATGAAACATGAAAAAAAAAATCAATTGACCTTGACATTTAAGATGGAAGTTGAAGGTGAAGCAGTTGGAGCGTGAAGTAGACAGACATAAACATGGTGCTAATCAGCTGATGCAGAGAAATGAACAGCTGGTGAAGGAAGTGGAGGGGCATCGTCAGAACCTCCATCACACGGGGATACAGATGGAGAACATGAAGAGGGAGCTGGGCGACGCCCTGGTCAGTATTCAAAAAATGATTTTTATTGGGGTTCTTTTTACATGCATGCTTTAACATGTACATAGATTTATTGTACATACAGTATATACATTTTTACCATGAGGGATTTATTTACACTAAGTATGCCATGACAAAAGAAATTCCCACGGAGGACTTTATAATCATTAAGATTTTAGATTTTATGTCCACAAGCCAAAAAATTACACCCTCATGGAAAAGGCTCAAATATATGATATAATAATTTCTTGTCAGGCTGTGAGGGCAGCTCAGGATGAACAACTTCGTCTGAAGGATGTGGAAATCAATGAACTGAAGTCAGTCAGGATGGACTTAGACCGGGAACTCAGGGACGTCCGTACTGTAGCAGACAGGGTGGGTGATCTTATATAATAAATGTTATGTGTTTAAATGTGTACTAAAGAAAAAATTGCTTGTATCTTCACTGTGGTAAGATACACATACAAGAGATCAATTAATCTTGAAAATTTTGATGTCTTCATTTAAAACAAACTTTTTGACTTTTAATTTCTGCATCCTAATCTTACAATATAAGAATGATGGAAACTTTTATATACGCATACAATGTATGTTTCTGAAATGCTTTGGTGCAAAAATGAGATCTCATCACTGATCAGTAGAATAGTAGTATTACATGTATATTTTAAACCAACAGAGGATATGTGAAAGAGAAATTGCTTAAACTGTCAAGGCCCCATATATAAAGGCCAACAGAAAATAGGAGTTTATATCACAATTATTGGTGTGAAGATTATCAAAAGTAAATTATGAGCAAAAGGCATACGTTTTGTAATTAATATTCACTTTCATTGTTTTTCATTTTAGCTTGAAAATGAACTACACACGGTATCACATCGCCTGACACAAGTCACGGACGACAAGAACAAAATGGAAGACAAACTCTCCTCCATTGAGGCAGCTCATATTTTGTCACAGGACCAAGCTGTTCAGCTGCAGGTACTCTATCATTCCTAATACATGTTATGAATGGCTAGAGGGACATAATTCATTTTCAGAGGGGTTTATTACAAATCTCAATTAGGGTAGACTTTGTTATTTAGAACAAGTGAGAAATTTTGGTCATAGTTTAAGATATTGAAAATTTCAAAAAACATGCAGTATCTTACAATTTGATTATCTGTTAAGAAATTCAAAAACAGTTGGTGAAGGAATTCAAGAAATGTTACATGCATCATACATTTTTATCTCTTAACTTCATGTAATCAATAAGATTGTTGTTTGTTCACATCAATTTTAACAAGATTTATGGTAACTATTCTTTCTCCATTCTTCTATGTGTCACATGTTAATTGCAGCAAGAGTTGAAGGAAATGAGCGCTCTTAAGGCAGAAATAGCAGCTAAGTTATCCGAATCAAACGGCAAAGTCCATGTAAATATCGTAGTTATCTCCCCATGGCAATGCGCTTCACTTAATTTCTCAAGTTTCTTCCATCTTAACCATCAAGTTCACTCAGTTTCTTATGTGCTTCACTTAAAATATTAGGAAAATGGAACCATTCTTGAAAAATGGCTATGTATGTACTGTAAACCAACTTTTATTCGCAACGATTTTATTTCGCAATTTACCAGGGGTTAACTAGTTTGCGATGATTAATTTTCGTGATCAAACCTTTTTTGAATCTATTATTAATAGACACAGAGACTTAAAGGACTGGTTCGCAGCGAGAAATATTCGCGATGACGAGGCTCTCGCGAACCTCGTGAATATTTCTCGCATGCGAATAAAAGTTGGTTTACAGTAATTTAAAGTTTATTAAGTGAAGAAATTAAAGTTGTCAAACAACAATGATTTATGTGTGAACTTGGATGGCTAGGAAGAAACTGTCTGTTTAATCTTAGCTATAACATATGTATGCTGTATATACTCATTCCATGACTGTGTAGTTTGGTTATTAATTGTGTGAAATGTTTAATCCTATATGCATCCTCTTTATCAAATCATTTCTCTTCTTGTAGATTGTATTAATTTATTGGAGCCTTTGTGTACCAATTTATTTCAGCTGTCATTTTATTTTTATCTTATTGATCTCTCTAGCATATTGGAGAAAAATTGCTTTGTTATATTGATTTAGCAAGTCATATTCAAGGAGCTTTTCATTTGAGATTCAGTTCATGCTCTTTTTCTGTAAAACTTATAATTTTCTTGTTTTAACAGTGTGCATGAGCAAATTTAATATTTAAGTGTGACTGAAGCATACCTGCATTATTAATACTTAAATTAATCAAATAAATTAGTGGTACATGTTTAGTTTCATTCTATCTATGTAAACCTATTTAGCTAAATGTACATGTACTTATCAATTCTCTATGTAGATGTATATATGGATTTGTAGTTAGTGTATTAGAAAACAAAAATTATAAGCTGAATAGCTTATTCACAAAACAGATGAGATGCGTGCACATGTATGGTATATTCTCAATACAAATATCTGCAATAAATATTTGAAAATAAAGAAATTATAAAGAAATTTTAATTCAGTTTCCTCTTAAAAATCATCTAATTTGAATAATTTCAAGTAAAAATAACCTTCATGTTAGACTTGAATGAAACATATCACGGTTGGGATGAAACAATTTTATAAATTGTTGATAAGAATAGTAATTGTTAATTTGTTTATTATTTCAGGATTTGAAGCAAAATTTTATAGAACTTCAGCACAGAGAAAAGGCAGCACGAGAAGAATCTAAAATGTACCAAAGACAACTAAATGATGTAAGTATTTTATCATGGTGTCTAGAAGTATACCAAATGTCCATTTATTACATATCAAATCTTAGATATAAGAAAGCTGAGTACAACATTTGTTCTAGAAAATCTTCATACCACATCTGTATAGAAAGAAGTTACTGCACTTCATCTTAAGTTTCAGTGAAAAAAAAATTCAATATAAACTTTTTTGGGGTTGAACCCAAGATACAACTGATTTCAAATCAATCATAATTTCAGGAGAGGGAAAATCATCATGTTGCTTTGGAGGCTGTAAAACGAGAATTAAATGAGGTCAAGGTCGGTCAAGTTCATATTCCTGTAAAAAAAGTATTCTTTGTCTTTTTGTCTGAAACTATATCTTTTTAATAATGAACTTTCTATAAATGTTTAAGCTAATGACAGCCCAAAATATGTTGAAATACTAGTTATATACTCTCAGCCCTGTTAAAGTTACATGTTAATTTTTACTATCTGTTTCAAGGTGAGAGAGGCCCACGTCATGCAGGATATACAGCGTAAAATGAAAAGGAGTCATGCTGAGTATGAGGCCACAATACAGGCTCTGAAGGTTTGTCTGAAACTAATTTACAGTATTAATTATTTAATGGCCCCAAAAATTTATTAGAATTGTATTTGTTTGTTTGTTTATTCAAGAAATGGTACAAGTCATATGTGAAACATAAGATAGAAACATTAGAACATAATTGGCACATGGAATCCAAAGAAATCATAAGATTTCGTAAAAAAAAATACAATTGTAATAAAACACGTATACATGTGTAAATTATGTTTTTGATACTTTCAGGTCCTTCTTATTTTCTACACACAAATATTGATTTAGCTTCCTTTTATACCATTGAGTATAGCTGCAAGCACATGTTTGTTCTATGATTGAAATGATGTTGTGTGGTGTTCAGTTAATAGTTTTATGTGTGGTATTGTAAATTTATGATTAATTTGTTTCAGATGGAACTGTCTGAGGAGAAGTCAGCACATAAAATCTCCAAACGCAACGAAGAAAAGTTCAGACAGGAGGTGGACAGATTAGCTCAAGAAATTGCAAGGTAAATTAAGACCTGAAAAAAAGAATTGGAAAATATTGGAAGTTTTTCTGTATTGTTTAAACTTTTCATGAATTTGGATTTTATTTGTGTGTCTTCAAAATATGTGTACCCTGTTACTACATGTAATTATTTCAGTAAATCTAAGATATGAAGGCATTGACCTTGAGGATTAATGCCAACATTTGAATATTAATTATTTTAAAAATAGAACTTACAATGTACTTTATAAAATAGTTTGTCTTTTTCTTTCTATATCAGCTTATTTCATAATACATGTAAGGTGCATTGATTTTCAAATACATGATCAGCTGGACATAATGATTCTACAAATTTTGAAATTTTTCTTACAGATGTGAGGAAGACAATCAGAAACTGTCGAGACGACTGGAGATGGCCCGAGAAGAATTTGAGACACAGGTGAGACTAATCACCAGATTCCATCACTAACATCAGCTGATTTCTCATATTATATTTCATTTTTCTCAGCATGCGTAGCTTGGTGATGAAATATTTTTTAAGTTCTATTTTTTGGTATTGAAGTGGTTATGTTTTTCTGTGTAATAGTTCTTCATAAAGAAAGTAAGTTGATTTCTGTTTCCTTTAATCCCTATAGAAATATAGAAAATCTGGTATTTTTTCTGTCTTTTTTTCATTGCAATATACATGTACATGTATTTACAAGAATTATTTAGATTTACTTATATGTAACAATATTTCATCTTGAATTACATTTATCCCCATCTCTATACATTAAGTAAGCCTGAAGTAAAAGATAACATCAATGGAATAAGTTGAGACCTATTTACATGATTTAAAAGGAAAATATGACGAGTCTGAATGCACTTTTGCTTTGGGTGTAAAGACGTGTGTACTCTTTCTGGCTTGTAGGAAAAACGTGCCCGCAGCAGGTCACCTAGACCTTGCATAAAGTTACAGCGCAAGAAAACTGTAGGTCTTCAGCTGGTTTGCATGCAAAAAAAAACCACAGAGTGATGTTTTCTATTTGACTTGCAACTGCTTTTTTTTTTTACTGCAAAACATCATTTCATCCGTAGCTCACTCACATCTAGCGTAAATTTGACAGAAATCATAATTTGATTTTCAGTTGATAGTTTGATAAGTTTTACCAATAGGAAAAGGTCATCTTCCTTTTCCCAAAAATCTTAACTAATATAGCTACAGTCTAATGTAATACCATTGAATAAAGTTTAGTGTAGTTCATAAATTTTTTTTTCTCTCTAATTTTACCCAATTTTTACAAACAAGTAGAACAGTAGATTTTAACACAGAACTTCAATAGGCAATTATTTGCATTACAATTTTTTATCATGATTTTGTTTTGTTTTTTTTCTACTCCTGATTTGAAATAACAATAATTGTTACCCCCATGAACATGTTTTCAACTATACTATAAAAAGTTTGTAGTCACTTTCTCTCTCTTTGACTCCACAATATCTGATTGGGTGATTGGAAATACATGTAGATGGGATTTATTTGTCACACCTGGTTATGGCATGGAGATCAATTATTTATATTTCCTCTGAAGGTTTGAACATGCAATACATATCAATTTAAGTATTTTCCAGTGTGGGTGCATGGGAAAAAATACACCTGGGGTGCACCTGAGTTAATGGAGCAAGGTTGGCTTAAAAAAAGCACTAGATGAACTGATACATGCACAGTTTTGGTGCAAGTAGATTAAGAATGTGCATTGAAATTTGTTGAAATTCAGAATCATTTTCATTAATCCATGCACAGTAGATAATGTGATGTATACAATACCATTGGGTGCTTCATATCAGGATATCAGAGCATGTAGATAAATACAGAGCATGGGAGTGTGACTAGATATGATATCAGGCAGTGTGAATAGATATATGGAAGTGTGATTAGATATCAGAGGATAGATGCTAGAGGAGAAATAAAAGTATACCTAATTAGATTAATTAGAGATTTTTTACTAATATAATGTTCTGAGAAATTACGGATTTATGCATGGGCTTTCATCAGTTACATGTAACAGGGTTCTGCAAGGATTTGCAGATGTGCTGTTGTAATCACTTTGTCTGTCTGTCCATAAACTTCCTACTTTTCCCTGATACTTTTTTATCTTGTTTAAAAATGTTCAGATTTGTTTAAAATTGTTTCAGCATATGTACATATATACAGAAAAAAATTCTCTGGCAATAAGGCCATATTAGACTTATTGGTACAAATTCATCTTCATTGTGTATGTGGATTTAAAAACACCTTAGATGAATGGTGGGGCCATAATATGTGCTCACAATTTTTCATGGAATATTAAAAAAGTTTTAAAATTCTTCTGACGAACAGCAGAGCTAAAGTAATTCATATGAGCATTGTGGCCCATGGGCCTTTTGGTCTATAAAGTTATCAGCCCCTTCTTTAAGAATATCTATCTGGACATCATGTCACCTGTCTATATCTTATATCCAGATATAAGTGGAATCCTTGCTGACTGTATAGTTTCTAGTTTTTTATTGTGGTGAATTTTATTAAAACAAGTATTAACTTGTTGTGATGTGTTACAAGTGATTTATGCTTTTAACTGATTTTTTTTCTTATGAGTAAGACTGTATTTTAGTGCCCAAGTGCAAATAACATTGTACTAATTTATGATCTGTATTAGAAATGTTTAAAATTTTGTAGCAATTTATTTTCACCAAAATGTGGTTAATTTCTCTTTCAGACTCAGATGGCTGAAACAGATTTATCAAGGTAAATTTTCATGATTGTTTTTCACCCTCTAGGAAAAAAATTATATACTAGTACATAATACACATGTAACTGTAAATTGTGTTTACCCTCATGATAGAAATTAGTTTGATTTTTCGCTGAATTTTAAAGAATGAAAGTACAATTAAAAAAAATAACTGCATGTAACAAATGTTTATTTTTTAATACTAAGGGTTAAGAATGTTGAAGAAGAACTCCTTAAAGCCAGAAATGATTGCAAGAGATTCCAAGCTAACTTTGAGGGACTCATTCATGAAATGGTGGCAGAGGTGGATGCTCTAATGGATATTGCAGCCTCAGGGTCCAAAGAGAAACAGAAGGTAGCTCTTTAATTCTAGTTTCAAATTGATAAAACAACAATGCATGTTTCATATAGGATACAAAACAAGGATGGAACGAAGATTTAAAATCAGAAGTGTTATCAATTTTAAAAAAAATATGTTGACAAGATTGAAAACAGATGTATGCCACCCAGTGCACTGGTTTAGTTACATTAAAAGTTTTGTAATATAAGTCATTTTCCTGATTAAAGTTTGGTGAAATATTTTTCAATGCCAACCCTTAAAATCTTTCACTGCAAAAGTTGATTAAATTTCTTGTTCACAAATTTCAAAAGATGTTTTAAATTTTACAATTTTCTTCAAATCACAGCTGGAGGCATCCATCAAACATACATGTATCTTTTTATAGTCCTTTTATCTGGTTCCTTTCATTCTAATGTGTTCAATGTAGCTTTAGAATCTTTAGAGAGGAAAGTAGATGTACATTTATTGTTTCATTTAAGCATATTGTACAGTGTTTCATCTCTGAATTTGCAGACAGTGGCTTCATGTAAGGGAACATCAAATGGACCCTCTACAGCCCTCCAAGAAATCAAGGTACAGTTGACTCTCGCTGGTTTTATACATCTTTATCATTTTTTATGCCCCGCCATGAATATGGCCGGGGCATATAGTGTTTGTCATGTCCGTCTTCCGTCCTTCTGTCCTTCCGTCCTTTTGTCCTTCCGTCACACTTTGCGTTTAGCTCTGTTCAAAGCTAAGTTTCAAAGAAACTATCCAAGATATTTATACCCCCCCGCAAACGAACTTTAGGGGGGGTATATTGGAATCACCATGTCCGTCTGTCCGTCTGTCTGTCTGTCTGTAGACGAGATTTTGTCCGGACCATTACTCAGAAACTATTGGAAGGATTTGTCTGAAAATTTGTACAAATATTATTCACCATATGAAGTTGTGCACCTGATATTTTCATCTTGATTCAATTATTATTTTGAATTTTACAGGTGTTTTTTCATTTTTATTTTGTGGTTTTGTCCGGACCCTTTCTCAGAAACTATTGCAAGGATTAATCTGAAAATTTGTACACTTATTATTCACCATATGAAGGTTTGCAATTGGAATTTTCAACTCTTTTTGTTCATTTTTTTGCATTTTACAGGTTTTATTTTTTATTTTAATTGACTTGTTCATTTTTGGCTCATGTATAAGGTTTGAGACATAGAATCTAGAATATCTGTACAAAAATACTACAGCTTAAAACTACTCATATAAACTTAAAAAAAGAAACATCATCAAGTGTTAAAAACAGTTTTTACATTGCACAGAAGATAATGTAATTTTATTTATCTCTTGGGAATAATGACTGGAGGTGCATCCAGTTAAAGATAAATTAATGAGTTTGGTGTGGGAAGTTGAACATTAAGGCATCTTATTATCAACCATGTGTAATCTCCTGGGAATCAGGCACAACTCCAGAATTAAAGATCTCTCTTCTCTTATTCTCTTAATTGTAATTTATTGTCTGTCAAAGCACTTCATTACTGGATGAGCAGCTCTTTATTTTCAAATGGATTTGATATAAAGTTATCAAGATTAATTTGATTTTGTATAATATGATTTTTTTTCAACAATCAGTTTGCAGAGTGACATAACACATAATTGCAATATATTTTTTTAATGCAGAAATAAAAAAATTAAATAAAAAAAAATTAAAAAATAATGTTACAATGGAATTACAATGTATTGGTATTGATGTTTCATTTGGTTACACCTTTGTTTCATTCATTAAGAAACATGATGAGCAACAATTATATTTCACTGCAAATTTTTGTAAGTAAATTGTGAACACCTCTAGATCCATAAAGTATTTTTGATTTGGCACCTTCTCTGAAAAACCCAGCGGGGGGTATTTGTCCCTATTGGACAGTTCTAGTTTTATCAAACTTCATATGCTGATAGATATTGATGAGGGCTATGCAACTGCATCAACATTTCTTGACCTTGACCTTTCCTTTGACCTTGACCTCACTTTTCTTAAATTAGTGTTTAGCTCAGTTTTAAACATACCATTCAAGATGGTGTTATCAAAGTTCACATGTTGATACAAACTTGCACGGATGATGCATCTAAGGATGAACACTACCAGACTTGCTTCGGATGCTGGATCTGACCTACATTTTCCAGATGAGTGACAAGGTTAAAGTTTTTGGAGCAGGTCCATTCCTAAGGAACTATAAGCCCTACCTGTTCCAAACTTGCATGGATGATGCATCTAAGGATGGACACTACCAGACTTGCTTCGGATGCTGGATCTGACCTATATTTTCATTACCAAGTAACTATAAGCCCTACCTGTTTTTGACCTAAATTTTCCAGATGAGTGACCAGATTAAAGTTTTTTGAGCTGGTCCATTTCCTAGGAACTATAAGCCCTACCCAAACCAAACTTTCACGGATGATGCATCTAGGGATGAAGACTACCAGACTTGCTTCGGATGCTGGATCTGACCTACATTTTCCAGATGAGTGACCAGGTTAAAGTTTTTGGAGCAGCTCCATTCCTAAGGAACTATAAGACCTACTTGGACCAAACTTGCATGGATGATGCATCTAGAGATGGACACTACCAGACTTGCATCGAATGCTGGATCTGACCTATATTTTCATTACCAAGTAACTATAAGCCCTACCTGTTCCAAACTTGCATGAATGATGCATCTAGGGATGGACACTACCAGACTTGCTTCGGGTGCTGGATCTGACCTATATTTTCATTCCCAAGTAACTATAAGCCCTACCTGTTCCAAACTTGCATGGATGATGCATCTAGGGATGGACACTACCAGACTTGCTTCGGATGCTGGATCTGACCTATATTTTCATTCCCTAGTAACTATAAGCCCTGCCTGAACCAAACTTGCATGGATGATGCATCTAGGGATGGACACTACCAGACTTGCTTCGGATGCTGGATCTGACCTATATTTTCATTCCCAAGTAACTATAAGCCCTACCTGAACCAAACTTGCATGGATGATGTATCTAGGGATGGACACTACCAGACTTGCTTCGGATGCTGGATCTGACCTTTATTTTCATTCCCAAGTAACAATAAGCCCTACCTGAACCAAACTTGCATGGATGATGCATCTAGGGCTGGACACATCCGGACTTGCTTCGGATGCGGAGTCGGACCTATATTTTCATTCCCTAGTAACTATAAGCCCTGCCTGAACCAAACTTGCATGGATGATGCATCTAGGGATGGACGCTACCAGACTTGCTTTGGATGCTGGATCTGACCTATATTTTCATTCCCAAGTAACTATAAGCGTACCTAAACCAAACTTGCATGGATCTAGGGATGGACACTACCAGACTTGCTTCGGATGCTGGATCTGACCTGTATTTTCATTCCCAAGTAACTATAAGCCCTACCTGAACCAAACTTGCATGGATGATGCATCTAGGGATGGACACTACCAGACTTGCTTCAGATGCTGGATCTGACATATATTTTCATTCCCAAGTAACTATAAGCCCTGCCTGAACCAAACTTGCATGAATGATGCATCTAGGGATGGACACTACCAGACTTGATTCGGATGCTGGATCTGACCTACATTTTTATTCCCTAGTAACTATAAGCCCTACCTGAACCAAACTGGTCAAATTTTATACACAGACAAATTTTCCTGTTGCTTTACTAATATTTCCTCGGTGGGGCATTCATGTCCTATTGACATATTTCTAGTTAAAGAAGTATTTTACTAAAATCTTATATAAAAGATGGCTGTGTTAAGTTTTCCTTTAATTTGCAGGCTAAAATGAAATGGTTACGAGGGGAAATCCGGGATAAAATAAAGATGGAACAGGCACTGAAGAAAGACCTGCAGGAGGCTTTGTCCTGTAACGAAACTGACCGACACTTCCTCATGTCTGAGCTTGCCAAACGTGATGGGGTCCTGGATGAACTCTCTACTGTCAAGCATGGTTAGTGTTTTTTTAATGCACTTACATGTACATATATGCTCTTACACTGTAGAGTGAAAAAAATTGTTACTTATGGTGTAGTTGTTGACATAAATTCTATTTATTACTTTAAGCTGTTCTTAAGTTACATCAAATCCCTATTTTGAAGCATTTTGGGTTGTGAAAGCATCAGTAATTTACTATTGTTAGAAATTTGTATTACAAAATTAATGTTTCTTGCATCTCTTTTCAGAATTAAGTCATAGGGAAGCTGAAAATCTTCACTGTGTTGAGACTTTGCAGGTTAGTTTATACATGTATATTCCAACATGTTCTTCTAGACATTTTTTTAACTTGCTAATATTTTTTGTCACAAAGCAATTACAAATATGCTTTATCATGTATTTATGAAGAATGTTGCAAAAATGAATTTTCAAATTTAAAGAGATCATAAATAAAATATTTGTGAATAATAGTTGGTTTATATGCTGCTAATTACAATGTATAATTGTATGAGACACACCATCTTTAAGTCTGATTTTAAATCTTTTTTGCTGTTAACAGTTGTAACCTTGTTTTGCAGACTCAAATTTTGGACTTAACAGATGAACTTGAACTGCGTAAAATTAGAGAAGAGGAACTATTGAGGCAACAGGCCATGGACAACAAACACGTAATAGAAGAAATCGAAGAACTGAGAGTAAGTGTACAACAAAAATACCTCATCCTTAAATTTGGTCTCATTTTTGCAACATAACTATTAATTGAAGATTATTATGAATTGGTAAGTTTTTCAATGTAATCCACTTTATAAATCTAACAGGGTGTACAAGAGGAGAAGGCCAGAATTGAACAGAGATACGTCAAACTACAGGACACCATGCGAGCACTCCAGAGTGAGCTCAAATCTGCTAATTTCTATGGAGACAAGGTACATGAGCCACAATTTTTATTTCACCCAGGGCATTTAATTTCTTTTACAATTATTGAATGACCTGCTAAACATTTGAGAAGTAAAATTTATTATGAGGATGCTTTGAAAAATAGCAATTAAAATTTAAAGGTTCTTTGCTTAAAGAGTAATTTCAAATTGCATCTGGTTCTAAACTCTTAATTTACTCCATGGTCAGTACATGTACTACTGTAAATCACTTTTTATTCGCAAGAACTTTATTTTCGCGTAATTTCGCGAGACGGTATGCTCGCGAAAATTTCATTCTCGCTTATAATAGAATTCCTTTTATATAGAGCAATGACCACAATTTGAAAATTTTGTTTTTAAAAGTTTTCGCGAAAATAAAGTGTCGCGAAAATTAAGTGATCTACAGTACCTACTACCCATACTATATATATAACCATAGATGATTTTCCTATACCTTTCAAGACCAAATATAATTCTCGGAATAGTGTAGAACAATTCACTCAGTGAGTTTTATTCTGTCAGACTTTTTTCTCATCAATACTTTTCTCAATTTCAGATTGAAGAGATTGAGAAAAACATGCACAATTTACGGAAATCTCCCAGGAGGAAAAACGTTCGAATCCAGGAGGGTCCCTCTTTACGATCAAGGTCGAGGTCAAGGTCAAAAAGTCCTGGAAGACGAATTCCCATTTCATAGTAATGGTGCACATCTCTAGTCCTTCTCCACATTTCTCTGACAATTAGCCTGATCCATTTTGGTTACTGTCCTTTCAATAAAATTCTATTGGAGGGATGGAAGCAGATTTTATTTCAATCCTTTTAAGGGATGATGGAATTACAATAATTGTATGAGCAGATGCTGATGTGTCTGCAGATTGCTAGAATACCATATGGTTATGTCTGTAAATACTACATATAGATGTATGTACATACAATTATTTATTTTTGTTTGTTACAGGTATATCGTCTACAAGATAATTTTGTAGATGCAAAGTATTATGTAAAAACATGTACATGTATACAGTATGTTTCAAGTGCTTTAGATTGTTTTTGTTTTTAATATAAGAAGAGTAGGCATTACAGAACAGAATTAAATGTTCATAGAACTCCATGAAGTCTAGGATTTGTGAACAAAAACATATTTTATTACATTGCATGTTGCATTTGTAAAATGAGAAAATTTTCCTTAAAGGTCTGTGTACATTTTGTTCATGTACATTATTTATAAAAATGTACATGGATTTAATATTACAGGGAAAAAAATGTCTCCTATTTTACACATTCCATTGCAAGTGTATTCAAAGGTGCATTGAAAATAAAAAGTTTGTAAGAGGATATTTGTAAATTAATGGCAATATTTTGTGTACATGTTCTTACCTTATCTGTGATAATTGCATTTACATGTATTATATATTGTTGTACACACAGAATTTTAAATGTTGTGAAAAAATTTATGTTGTATTTATATTTTGCCATACCATTTTTGAACAAAATTTTTTATATCTTCAGATACATGTAGACATGTATCTTTACTGAACAATTTTATTTCATGTGATTTTTTTAAGACGTAGAAATTTTAAATACATCTTTACCATTTGTGTTTTTTTTTCCTTAATATCTACATGTATTTCATTCCAAATTTTATTATTAGAATATATTTATATATTGAGTAGATCTGATCTTTTTTCTTTTACTGTTAGATTGAAAGTTTTCAATTTTTGAAGTCTTTATATATAATATGTTAAAGATATTATATTTATATTCACTTTGATTTAGATATCGCATTCTCCCAAGATTTTTATGTATGATAAGATCACATTGTAGATGATTATAAATAGAATCAATCCTGCATATACACATCATTATGCATTTTACTTTTATCTCATTTCGATATACTGTAAGGGAAACAGGGGCCTTGCAAGGGTAAAAAAAATGTTCTGTTTCGAGCTGTCTCAATTTTTTTTTCATATATCTTATAGATTTGTCTGTTATAATGTTGTAAAACTTATTTTTTAACTTTCCTATCATACAATTTCTTCAAAGAATTTTCTCTCCTTTCAAAGTATATCAGATAAAAGTTATCAAGATATGCAACTGAATTTCACCAAAACATCTATTTCAGTGAATTTATAAATTATGCCAGCAACGTCTTTGTACATTTTGTATCAGTACACTGTATTATGTGTGGGATGATAGTAGTGTGAGAAATGGTTTGTGATAAACTATTTAAGTGAAAAATCAAATCCATATTGTCATCTATTTATTTATTTATCAATAAATAAAGCGACACAGAAATCTTTATTTGTATTTTATTAAATATGGACAGATCTAAAAATCTTATAATGAACATTGGGCACCAAGATAAATGGAATTGCTTGAGCATGTATGACTTGTATATTTTACACAATTCTTTTTTTCAGAAATTGGCACTGGAATGGTCCCTGCTTTTGAGTTAGCCTTATTTTTATTCAGCTGATCTCTTTTATCTTTGGATGACCATTTATTGAATCAGCTGATGAATTTTGATTTATTTCCTTACTATTTAAACCATTAACATTGTCACAACTTGTGCTAGAATTGGATTTTGATGTCCCTCGAAACATGGCTTTATAAGTAGCTTGCAGTTCAATGTCTTGTTTTTCAATTGCTTTCTTGCACATCTGAAGATATTTCTTTGTAGACGAATCTGTAAAACCAAACAAGTGCATGAAACTCACAAGTTTGCCATACATGAATGATTTCAAATTAAAAGGAAACAAATGAAAGACTAAAATCAATCTATACAATGAGATATTATTCCTTTCGTTACAGGAATTCCCATTATTAAATCTAAAACCTTCATGACAAGTGGATCATTTTCAAATACATTTACAGTTGAACTCTGTAATCTCAAACTTAGATATCTTGAGTACCATGGATATGTTGAAGTCATTTGGAAATTCCAACTATTCTTTTTTATGTATTTAAACCTTGTAATCAATAATTCTTGGATATCTTGGAAATTTTTTTCTAGTCCCATCAAGTTTGAGATGACACAATTTGACTGTATACACATTGCTCCAAGGAAAAGTCAGTCCAGGAGAACCCTGGTTTATTCTATCTCTGAAGAAAAAACTCGCATACAAAATCTAACAGCAGTCATAGATACACTATATACATGTACATGTGCAAGCCAATACAGTAAAACACCTTTATTGCGAACATTCTGATAATAAATTGACACTTTCAGCAAAGCAATATTCATTCCCCATGACTTTAAAAAAAATTGTGATATTAATGGATGTAACGAATTACACTTATAACAAATCAAAATTGTCCATCCTTGGCACTTCCTTATAAGCGTGTTTAACTGTATTTCACTCTTCAGATACATATATATTATTATAACAGTAACTTGATCCGAAGGGCCGTATCACGTCGAGTTGACAGGCGCGGATCATCAGTGTCTGTCAATGAGATGTGATACGGATCTTCGGATCAAGTTACTGTTATAATGATAAATTTATTATATACTCCCTTATAACTAGCAAAATATAGCAAAATAAAATTTTAGAGATCAATTGTATAATATTTATCCATAAAACAAAGCACAATAACAAGGGACTTTTTTACACGCAAGAAAAATAACGTCATGTTTTTGCGTACCACGTCATCAGTTTCAGAGAGTGGTGATATGGATTCAGAAAACCACAGTGTGGTGATCTGGAAATACATATATTTTGATAGATTACCAGTTTGATCTGCTTTCTGTAATGTTGACATGGATTCTTCATACTTTTTTAAGTGATACAAGGCCACACCTTTTCTGTGTTGTGCTTTGATGTTCCCAGGAGAAACCTGAAGTACTTCATCACAGTATTCCACTATTTTACTGTAGTTAGGTTCTTTTTCTTGCAATAAACAAGCTGAAATAAAAAAAAATGTGAAAACATTGACATGAATATTGATGCCCATTGCAATGCAATAACTTAGGTCTTAGGTTTTTATGATCAAACCACATAGTCATGCATGTACATGTGTATGAAGAATGATTAGATGCATATGAATACACCAACAAATATCAAAGAATTATGATTTGAACAATTTGTATAACCCAAGTGTTTATTATTGTGGCAGTTTTCAGACCATATTTCTATGTTTAATTGCTGGGTCATGATTTGTACAATTTAGATGGCTTCAAAAGCTCATTTGGTAGAGCACCTGAACCCCAGGGGGTCATGATTTGACATTTTAGAATCTACACTATCCTAGTCTTCCACATAGAAGTGGTTCTTGAGAAGAAGATTTTCAAAGATTTTTCCTTATATTTCTAATATTGTGGCCCCACCCTACCCCCGGATATATAATATAATAGGATGCTTCAAAATAAGTTTCAGCTATGGTAGAAGAAGATTTTCACCTATATTTCATGTAAAACTATCCCCATTGATTGTCATGATATGAACAATTTAGAATCTACATTACCCAAGGATGCTTCCACATAAGTTTCAGCTTTCCTGGCCCAGTGGTTCTTAAGAAGAAGATTTTTCCTTTATATTTCTATGTAAAAGTTTGATTCCCTATTGTGGCCCCGCCCAACCCCTGGGGGTCATGATTTGAACAATTTAGAATCTACACTACCCAAGGATGCTTCCACGTAAGTTTCAGCTTTTCTGATCCAGTGGTTCTTGAAAAGAAGATTTTCAAATATTTTTCCTTTATATTTCTCTCCCCATGTGGCCCCGAGGGGAGGATAATTTAGTTAATACCTTCCACATAAGAAGTGGTTCAGAAGAATTTTCAAAGATTTTTCCTTTATATTTCTATGTAAAACTTTGGTGGCCCCGCCCTATGGGGGTCATGATTTGAGGTTACACTACCCCAGGATGCTTCCACTAAGTTTCAGTGGCCCAGTGGTTCAGAAGAAGATTTTTTAATGTTTTTTGTCTTTTCTTCATTTAATATGAATTTTAATCTTTACCCAAGGATGCTTTGTACCAAGTTTGGTCAAAATTGGCCCAGTGGTTCTTGAGAAGAAGTCGAAAATGTGAAAAGTTTACAGACGGACGGACAGACAGACAGACAGACGGGACGGACAAATCCTGGACAAAATGTGATGTCACTTTCTCCTCAGGTGAGCTAAAAATGTGAAAACATTGACATGAATATTGATGCCCATTGCAATGCAATAACTTAGGTCTTAGGTTTTTATGATCAAACCACATAGTCATGCATGTACATGTGTATGAAGAATGATTAGATGCATATGAATACACCAACAAATATCAAAGAATTACTCAATTTGTATAACCCAAGTGTTTATTATTGTGGCAGTCAGACCAGTTTAATTGCTGCTCGATGGCCAGAAAGCTCATTTGGTAGAGCACCTGAATGGAGATTCACTGTCACAGAGACTTGAGACAATCTTAGCAATATCGGATATATAATACAAGAGGCCCATGGGCATTCACCTGATCTGTTCTTTACCAGATTTCCCCCTTGTAATATGCCCCACCCCACCCAACTGATCATAATTAAGACATTTTGAAATCAACTACCCCAGTCCTTCATGTGCAAATAAGTTTCATTTTTTTGGTTCAGAAGAAGATTTTCCTATATTTTTATGTAAAACTTTGATTGTGGCAACCCTTCCCCTGGGGGTCATGAGACAATTTAACAATTACATGTAAAAGTTTCAACTTTTCTGGTAACACATGTCAAAGATTTTTCTATATTTCTAGGTAAAACTTATGCATCTTTACATTAATAATTGAAATAAAATAGCCTTATTTTTGAGAAGAAGATTTTCACATATATTTCTATGTAAAACTTTGATTCCCCATTGTTATAACAATTTAATATCTACACTACCGGATGCTTTTTAACTTGTTAAATTTCTTTTCTATATATTTATATGTAAAATTTTGTTTGCCCATTGTGGCTAGGCTGATTTTTATAAATCCCATTATCTGCTTCCACTAATCTTTTCATCAGAACCCTATATATTTCTTTAAAACTTTGCAGTGGCTCTGTGATTTGACAATTTAATATCTACACTACCCTAGGATGCTTTCACATTAGTTTCAGCTTTCCTGGCTTTTAAAATATTTTCATTTTTTCCTATATATTTATATGTAAAATTTTGTTTGCCCATTGTGGCCCCACCCTTCCCCCGGGGGTCATGATTTTTATAATTTAGAATCTACACTATCCCAGGATGCTTCCATAATTTGGTTTCTGGCCCAGTAGTGGTGAAGATTTTCAAAGATTTTTCCTATATATTTCTATGTAAAACTTTGGTTCCCCAAGACAGCATGCTTCCAAAAAGCTTTCCTGGCCCAGCAGTTCTTGAGCAGAAGATTTTCAAAGATTTTTCCTATATATTTCTACCTTATTGTATTTACAATACTGTTTCAAACAGCTTTCCTGGCCCAGGAAAAAGATTTTCCAAGACTTTTCCTATATATTTCTATGTAAAATTTTGTTTGCCCATATATATTTTTACAATTTAGAATCTACACTATATAGCTTTATTTACTTTTCTATAAAATATAGATTTTTCTATATATTTATATGTAAAACTATTTCAGAGTAAATTGAACAATTTAATATTACACTTAGGATGCTTTCAAAAGTTTCAGCTTTTCTGCAGTACAAAAAGATTTTCAAAGATTTTTCCTATATATTTCTATGTAAAACTTTGGCCCCAGTATTATGATTTGAACAATTCACACTACCCTTAAAATGGACAGTGAAAACAATTTTTCCTTTATATTTCTATGTAAGACCCACTCCTAAAAATGTTTACACTACCCTATTGCTTTCAATTGTTTCAAGTGGTTCTTGAAAGAAGATTTTTTAATGACCCCAGTCTTTTTTTTATTATTTCCCCTTGGAGGGGATATGTGTATTTTAACAATTTAAATTCCCCTTCACCCAAGGATGCTGTTTGGTCATTAAGCAAAAGTTTACTACTTTAACAAAGAAAAGCAGTTTTGGTCAACAAGTGATAATTGATTTGGTCAATAATTATTATACTACATGTATATCCCCGATTTTGCAATGTCCCGGTGTGGAGATCACACTTTGAATCCCATGCCTGAGATACTGCATCTTTCAGTGAGCCTTTAAGAAGGCAGGAATATTGTGGTGATCAGATAGGTTCCATCACTGGTGGACAGATAGTTCATTTAATAGAAAATCTGACTGGAGATTGAGGGGGGGGGAGGCAAATCCTGGTCTGGATGTCACTTTCTCCTCTTCTGTTACATTATTAATTACATGTATTATCAAGTAAGTTGTGTAATATTTAAGATAATCTTACTGTGTTTTGGGACAAGCCCTCACCACAACCGGGTCTGCAGGACAATATCAATTTAATGATAGAACATTCTATCTAGTTGTGTATATGCACATGCAAGACATTTGCTTACGTCTTCACTGAGCTTATGTTTTTGCAGGGACCTATACAGGTATTCAACTGTTGTTCAAGACATTAACAACATGTAAACTACTGGTAACACATGTCTCTATAAGGTTTATGCATCTTTACATTAATAATTGAAATAAAATAGCCTTATTTTTGGGACACATACCAGCAAGATTGTTATAACAATCGGTTTTTAACTTGTTAAATTTCTCTTCTAGTTGTGGAGAAAGTTTCTTGCTAGGCTGATTATCCAATCCCATTACTGCACTCATCTTTTCATCAGAACCCACTCCTTTAAGCTGCAGAATGGCTCTGTGATACTTTCCCATAGCTTTTTTCAGATTCTTGCTTTTAAAATATTCATTTCCTTCCATCTTAAATGTTTCTGCTGATGTAATCATATCTTCATCATTTGGTTTCTTAAGTGGTGAGGCCATATTGTCGAAGAAGACAGTTAAAAAGAGTTCTTAAACTTCTTTATCACCTTAGTATTTACAGTACTGTAAAATTTTTCTTGTTTTGATGACAGTTCACGTTTGGTTGTCGTAAAATGAAAAAGGAAAAAAACCGTTTTGAAAACACATTTCATTTTAATAATAAAATAAACCTCTGAATTATTTTTCAGCCGTTAAAGTCGTTGAAATGTGAAAATACAAAATTATCTCATTTATTTCTTCGAGATTAATGTCGTAAATAAAAATACATCTGTAAAACGTTTGACAGTGAGGAGAAAAAATCAATGAAGTTATTCGTTATTCAAGTGTCTAAAAGACATTGATGCTGCACATGTCACCGGTCTAAAACTGAAGATGGCAGAAGCAATGAGAGCAAATGTTGCTGCCTTACTGAAAGGAATAGACAGGTAAGGTGCTCTACAGCCACTTTTTAAAACCTTTAGAATGAAGTACAGCTACAACTTTACAAACCTAACCTACCCATGGGACCATTTTCAATAGATTTGTAGCCTATTTGACCATTGAAGGAAAAAAGGCTAAACTTAAAACAAATAATTAACTTTGGAATGAAAAGTGGTTCTGAAGAGAAAAAAATATGACAACAGGTTTAGATTGAATTACATGTAATAGCACTTGGGTTGGATCGTCTTTTTCTGTCTGTTAGTAGTCTGTACAAATTGATGAGAAGATCAGATGTTAAAACTTTATGAAATGACCATTTGTTTATTATTTTATAATTTCCTATTCTCAGCTGTTAAGTCCATTATTTTATAGTGCATAATACCATGGCATTGGCATCATAACATTCAAATTAGTTGTATATAAAGCATGGTAACATGACCTGTTGAATTTGATGGTTTTACTTTTTTTATGTTCTTGTTAATTATATTGAGTGATTCTACAGATAAATTTATTTTGTTGAAAGGTACAATCCGGAAAACTTGGGAACCTTGGAAAAGTATATTTCAATGCAAGCACAAGAAGGAACCTATGACTTAGAGGCTAATTTGGCTGTCCTTAAACTGTAAGTATTGTTACTTTATAGATGTGGATTGAGTCAGCAAATTCAAATTGCAATATGAAATGGCAATATTCATCTATTTCAATAGTATTACATTGAATGTAACATATCACTTCGGTGATGCTTCCTGAAAACATACAGTGAACTTTTCATAACTATGGCTATACATTTTACTTTCTTTGTAGATATCAGTTTAATCCCATGCATTACCAGACTACTGTGGCATGTCAGATTTTACTGAAAGCTCTCACGAACATGCCTCATACAGACTTTACTTTGTGTAAATGCTTGATTGATGCTGTCAGGGTAAGAAGTATTCTTTTTTTCCCAGTTGCATTTTAGTTTTTTTACATTAGTTGTGAATGTAAATTGTAAATAAAAAGAAATTATACATTTTTATTTAGCATGATGAAGAGCCGACAGCACAAGTCATGAACCTTGCACACTTGTTGGAGACGTGTCAGTTTAGGGAATTCTGGGTAAGAATTTTATGGACAGGTGATTATCTTTAAATCAAAGAGACACAAATTAGGCTGAAAATGTGAAATTGATTTTATGAAATCCAAAATATTTTATTTAAATAAAGTAGGGATGTCAAATCGGTCAATTTTTAATACTCGGTTACTCGGACGTTTTTCCGATCGAGTACCCGGGTACTCGGTAAAAGTCTAAATAAATATGAACAATTTAATTGATAACTGTAAAACATTGAAATAAAACCACATGGTCTGATGGGAGGTTTACCTGTAAATTATGACAACTTTGTGCCCGACGAAATTTAATCTAACATTTTTTGAAGTCCAATTTATTTATCAGATAAATACGAGATATAAAAATCATAAATGGCTCACAGTGGTTTTGTTAAAAAAAAATAATCTGTTCCCTAATTGTAATGTAACTCTATCAATGCGTTTGACGTCCAAGTGATAAGTCGTCAGAGCTACATACATGTACAGTATTAACTTGATAAAGTTCTAACAGAGCGGATTTACGATCTTCGAACACTTTTCGATCATTGATTTCATTAAAATTACGAGACGGATTGTTGTAGTTTGGTGCAATGATGGACGTAAGATTTTTAAAACCTTTGCATTCAAACATTTGCATTAATAGGCACGTAATCAAACGCATCCATATCAACAATCGCACGTGCAATATCGTCTGTCTCTTTCCCATTAGAATCTACGGCTTCTGGAGAATTGACAAAATTCTCTAATTTATTTAAACATATATAATAGACCTTAAACGATGTTCAATGAAAACAAATAATTAGAGCAAACTAAACATAAGGGTAGAAGACAGCCGAAGGCGAGAAAAGCCAGGTAGGTAGCAGGTGCTTGGTCACGGTAATTACTGTATAAACACTGCCACAGGCGATAACGGTCATTGGAGAGGCTCAGGAAACCCTAATTACTGTATGTACAAGTGCAATGAACATTTTACGATTAAAACCGATATTTTAATGCATTAATAAATAACCTTAGAAATATTTAAAAATATACATCCGAGTAACCGAGTACCGATTTTAGTATTCGATACTCGGACGTTCAATCGAGTATCCGGTTAAACGGGTACTCGTTGACATCCCTAAAATAAAGTCATTAAAGATTGTGAACATGCATGGCTACGAGGGGTAATCAAAAAGTTCGTGGACTAGCGTCATAAAATTAAAACCGCTTTAAGCACATCAATGAATTTTAAAATATCTAATAAGCATCATTTTTTCTATCTAAAGAATAAACCATAAATCATAAATTTTATTTTTTAATAAATTAGTGATGTTTTTGTAAGCAATGGTATGTCCAGGCGGCGCAACCTCGAACACGACGTTTTTTGCGACCTATGTGTAACTGAGAAAAACTCTTTTGATATGGTCATTTGACATCCAAAAATCCCGTTAAAATAGGTATGTGTCTGGACTCAATTGTTTCATAAAATACGAAATTTTCACTTCATTCTGGAAGTTTTATGGAATGTTATCGCAAATTTTACATAGAATGTCCGAACAAATGAGGCCTTGAAAATGACGTCAAAAAGGGGGAGGGGTTTCCGTTTCCAACATTCTATAAAGTTTTGTCCCTGATAAAAACTGGTATAGACCTAAAATATGTTGAAATTGCTGAAGAGAAGTAAAACGGATCCAGAGTACTTGTCTTTTCATGTCAAAATAGATTCAGAGAGAAAAGGATTACACAGTTCATGTCGATGTGCAGTCAAGGTGTGAAAAATCAATCACGTCAGAAAATGACGTTGATCATGCGTTGTAGATATTGAACTCCCAAAAGCAAAATATGCCTGCACAATCAAGCGCGGATCTCTCCCAATGTATTAATCCATTTGGAATATTATATTCATTGAAGGCTACTGTTCATGACATTGTAAAGTCATATAAACAAGGCGGGTTTAAGTCCTTTCTTAGCTCCAGGGTTTCTCATCAAGAAAGTGTATGAGGTAGAAGATGCGGACAATGAAAAAACAATGACGTTATCGGACGTCATGAAAATAAACGACGACAGCGCCGGGTGATCATATATTGTCGTTTTCATTTTATAATAATTTGGAAAATAATGAACGTATCAGGCTAAAATTTTCAACATTTCTTTATTTTTTGTTATTTTATGTTCTTTATAAATTTTGAAAGCACAGACAACATAGTACTAATTTTATAGGCTCAGTCCACGAACTTTTTGATAACCCCTCGTATAAGCTATGCTCCCTCTATTTTATAGATTGATTAACCCTGTATGTTGATGAGAATTGCAAATTGAAGACTTACTATGATTGTTAATGCTTCTACTTTTGATTGATACAGGGGGCTTTGAGAGCAAATCCTGACTTAACCTCCAATATCAAAGGATTTGATGATTCTGTGAGAAAATGTAAGTGCATGGCATTGAAAAGGGTAATGTATTCAATATCAATTTTTCAATGAAAGTGAAGCATCTTATTTGTTGATACATGTAAAGAAGGAAAGAAATCAATATTTTTAGTTTCCACTTTCAAAGCACACATCTGATACTTGATCAGTGCGTGGTTTTTCTTTTCAGTTGTATGTCATGTAATAGCAGCAACCTACCAGACAATACCATCAGATCTGTTGAAAGAATTACTGGGAGATATTCCAGGTACAAAGTGAAACAGAAGATGAAAAAATAAAAAAGAAATAATTAAATGCATATACATGTACATTTAGATGTACTAGCAATGAAGTAAATGTTTATAGCCACTCCTCAGAATGGTCATTAATGACTCAACCACCCCCCCCCCCAGCTTTTGGGTCAAATCTGATATTTTCATGTGTACTGTGTACTTTAAAAATAAGGAATATGTTTTAATGCAGAAGAATTAGAAAATCAATTATAGATAATTATAGATAATGAAGGTGTTTTTATTTTACACTAAGTGATATTGTTTTTTAAAAAATAAATTCATTATAAAACTTTGCTTTCTTACAGAGGACCAGGTCCAGCAGTGGATTAACAAATATGGCTGGAAGCTTCAGGAAGACGGGAATGTATTTATCATGAACCAGGAGGAGAACATCAAAACAAAGAATATCACCGAGAAAATCACGTTTGACAGTGAGTACCTTGGAGTATTGTTTCTTTTCATAAAGTTAATTTAATATCCATCAAAATATTTTAAAACAATTTCTTATTACAGTAAAACTCATTTAGTACCAACACGGATATAGCGAATTCATGGATGTAGCGAAGTTTTTCTGGGTCCCCGGCAAAATTCTTAACAAATCTTTGTAAAATTTTACCGTTATAACGAACTCTGATATAACGAATTTACGGATATAGCGAACTGATTTTGAGTCCCATTGGGTTGAATATAATGAAATTACGTCTTTTATAACGAACTTTCAAAGATTATAAAAAGTTTGATAAATTGAACTGACTTCATTTCCGTTTAGCATTTGTATATAAAATTCAATTCATAATAAAACCTTAGTTATCGAAGATATGTTTTGTAATATTTGCTTCCATAACATATTTGGTAGTAATACCTGAAGGAAAACATGCATATTGCGAATTCGCTATAATGGTTATACGAATTCATTATACGGATATAACAAATTACGGATATAGCGAATTAAATTCATGGGTCTCCAGGACTTTGCTATAACCGAGTTTTACTGTAATAATTGAATTTTGTAAAAATGTTTCATCTGATAGATTTATAAAAGCTTGTTTAGACCAAATCATACCTTCACTACCTTGTCTATGTACATGTATAACTGAATTTGGTTTAAAGTATATGATTCCTCTTTTTCAGGTGTTGCAGGCATCATGGCAAATTGTCGGTGATGTAAAACAGAGAACATTGTCATGAACACTATTATACATAAAAACAGATTGTGCATCTCATTGTAAAGTTGTTATTGTCTTATAATATTTAAATTAATTTACATGTGTACATGTGATATGTAGGTAGTTTCAGTGATTCCCAGATGCATTGTTATAGAGCTAATGGAAGAGACTTGGATTTTGAATCAGTTTTATTTGATTCCCATACTTGCAGCAACAAACAAGCATTACATTTATTTATGAAAGAAGTATACTTAAACCTAAAGATGGAATTTTTACTCTTTAAAGATGTCATTTTGAATTTGTATTACATGTACTACCTACAATATCAACAAATAAATTCTGTATAACAACACAAGTAATGTAAGAGTTAGAGTTCAGTTGGATATTTTTCCTTTGCTCCTGGGTTTTATGCCAATGATCCAAGTACATTTATATTTTTGATGAAGAAAGGTGCATCTAGCAAAATGGATATATTATTTACAGATAAAGGGGAGCCAAAAGTGCCCCCTTTGGACCTAACAGATGGGGCCAAAAGAAAAATTAATCCTGGATATCTGGAAAGCAATTTTGCATTATAATATGCAATGATCCTTTTACCAAAATTGTGAAATCCATAGCCCCTTGATTCAGGCCAAATCATGTTGTGTTCATGTCCCAGGATGGGAGTAAAATTGGTCAGGTATTAAAATATCATTGCACATTTTGAAAATCTTATTCAATTATTATTTTTTCCACATATTTTGGGCATATGGAAGTCTGTCTGCATGGTTGTAAATATCATCAAGCCAGATAGTAGTCATTTCATCCTTGATAAAATTGGAATGACATTTATAATATGTTATTTATTGTCAACACCATGTCTGTCAAGATACAGTAAAAGTCAAATGACAATTTTAATTTATTTATAACATAATGGCTACAGGATTATTACTCCTTGTTCCCCCTCAATTCTGAAAAAGTAGAATTATTTGCATGTAAAATTACATTTCCTTTATAACATTAAGATTTACAATGAAACCACAAGTGATGTTCACACTTAACTGGAGCCAGTGCACTTGGAAGTTGTCATTAAAGTGAAGACTGTAGAAAATATTCAACAAGCACAATAACTTTATTTCTCATTTCTCAACATGAGACATGACTGGCAGCCTCTAGCAGTCAGTACACACATATAACTTTTCTGTCTAATTGCCATACTACATAGTGTAAAAAACAAATGATAGCATCAGGTGAAAGAATTATTTAAAAAATTACTCCAGAGCTTGCATTCCTTTTGAACAGTGCACGAACTCCCAATTTATATTTGATTTGGGTGCATACATCTTGCATGCCTCATTTAAGAGCTAGGACCTTTTTTAGCCTGGAACATCGGTGACTGATTGGAATAATCCAATACAAACTTCCTATGCCTTGTGGTTGCATGCTTTTGGTATTAAACATGCTACGAGCATTTAATGTTATTGGTCCAATCAAGTCATGTGACTTCAGAGAGAATCTTCAGTCTTTCCTCAGTAGATGAAAGTTGTTCCTTTTCCTCTGCTGAAAGTAATGCCTTTACACTCTCCAGAAAACAGATATCTGAAAAGTAAATAATTCCAAATCACATAAAAATTCTTAAGCATATTTGTTGGTACAATGTTTCTAAAAATAGCATTCCAAATCATATTATACAGGGTTTATATCTAACAGTTCATTTGATATCCCAGAACATGCTCTACATATGAAGAATTTCTAAAACGAGGTAAGTAATTGACAAACAAGTTGATAAAACAAAAATATCAGCAGTCTCATTTTAAAGTCATCATTTTGTACAATGATCTTTTCATCAAATGCAATCTATCATTAAATCAAATCCTGACTGACATTTTCCATACTTATTGTTAGGCCATATTTACACATTGAATTGTCAACAGATTATATCTGTTATTTCATGATCATGACAAGGAGCACATGTAGGATATGACCGGTTGGCAAGGGGATGCTCACTCCTCCATGGCACCTTATCCCACCACTGTTTTAGAGGTCCAGATTAGCTTTGCTCCATAATTTGTATTGTTTCATTAACTTATGAGCTTGAATACTGTTTATATATTTCATCTACAAGTACACTTACAAACTTCATTTTTGCATGCTTATAGAGTCAACTTGTCAATATATACATGTACATGTAGGTTTAATAGATAAAAACTAAAAATTCCAGTTTTTGTAAATATCTTATATATGAAAGATCGATGAGAGGTTCAGAGACATGAGAGTCTGCCTTTTCAGTAAACATCTGAGTTGGTATGTTATGATTCTGAGAAATAAATGATGGAATATGTTGTATACATGTACAGTCAAATCTGTATTAAGAGACCTTCCAAGGGAGAAAGCAAAACAGGTCAAAAATGACATGGGGGTCTCTTAATACTGTAGATCACTTAATTTGCGCGACACTTTATTTTCATGAGATAGTCATTGACTCTTTACTAGCGAGACAAAATTTTCACAAATTGTGGTCATTGCTCTATATAATCTTAAGGAAATTTCTAATACGCAAGAATGAAATTTTCGCGAGCATACCGTGTTGTGTAATTGCGCGAAAATAAAGTTTTCGCGAATAAAAAGTGCTTTACAGTACAGGTTGCTGTACATGTGAATCTTTAAAATTTTGAACTGGCACTTCTTGTTCAGGCATTTAGTAAACAGAACTACTGTAAATGACACTTACTCTGAGGAAATATGATGAGACAGCAGATAGCCTTGTGGAGACAGAGTTGAGAGGAGGAGTTGTGTGTTGACGTGAAATGATACTGAGGCCACCAGGATAAGCGATACTTCAAGCATTCTTCAATCACAGTATGACTGTAAACAGTAAGACAATCATCTTAATTTTTTTTCAAAATTGAGACCCAATCTTCAGTACCTAGAAAAAATACATGGTACATGTATTGAATGAGTTAAATTTGCCTATCCTTGATTTATAATAAAGTATTGAAAATTTACTATTAAACGTTGTCATGCATATTTTCAAATGAGATTTCAAAAGTACATGTACTATCATAGATAGGGATCTTTTCAAAGATTCTGTATTTAAAAACCTTCAACCATTCAGCAGAGTTTTTTTTAATCTTTTGACCTTTTCACGTTTGAGGTCAGTAGGTTTGACATCAGTTTCCAGGGTCGAAGTTCAAACTGCCAGCTGCCATCATCCAAAAGATCAAACAGGTGACGTAAGGCATCTGCTGCTTTGTCTTCTGAAATGTCAATTAATTCCAATTCAAACATTGTTTTTCATTTAACCATTAACTGAATTTTATTGTGATTCCCATATCATGTTACTACACAGCACTGTTATAAAGTTGTAGAAAAAAGTAACTCATTACTGTAAATGTTAAAATTGAGTACCTTCTATCAATAATTCACAAAGATCAATCACTAAAGGGTCTGAGGGTACATTTTCTGCAAGATCCTGTAATCAAAATAGAAATTATAAAGATATGAAGATTCTTATATGTATTTAAACAATAATTTACAAATTTGAATCTAGTAGCCAACAGGCAACAATGCTTGCCCAAGTCACCATTACTTATCAGTATTCATGTTCACATAGATAAATGAAACCCTATATTATACTAGTCATTAAAATTAAGTCCATGATTTCAAAAATTTTATTCAACAGCTTACTGAGGCTAAGTTAACATGACATACTTTTAAAACCTTTGTGTCCTTGTGAATATTATACACATTTATCACTAAAAGCTTTGTTCACAATTCTGGCTTCAATCTACTCTTGATGGGCCTGCTTTGACTTAAATTAAATTTCCTTGCATCTCTTTTTGAAAAACTGCTATCTTGAGAAAAGGATTTTAAAAGATTTTTTCTGTCCAAGTAAATTTTTTTGTCCCATCTTGGTGCCAAGATTTCAACATCATGTACCTCAGCAGAAAATAATTACAGTGTATTTATATGACCAAATTACATGTACTACTGACTGTAGAATGTTCACGGTATACCTTCAACAGATTGATTCTGGTAAACACTGGCCAGTTATGGTGGACAGCGAAGTGATATAAATATTTGTGAGCATTAGGGTTCTCCTTGTTCTGTTGTTTGTAAGCCTGTAAAATCTCCTCCGCCTCATCCAGTTTACAGTAGTGTTCTAAAATCTGAGTTTACAAAATGGAAACCACTCACAGAAAATTTTTAAATGTACATTAAATATGTGCATAATATTCATATTACATTTCAGTGATATAGATTAAATACGTAAATTTAGATGTCACTTTTCCCCTGATAAATGCACAATGTAAAAAAATCTTAATAATTAAGTGCTTTATCATTAAGATCAACAGTGCTTAATGAAAAATGTGCTAACAACCAGCTAGCAAAATAACTGAATGAATCGGTATGCATGTTTACTGTACCTCCACTTGCTTGGTGATGAATATATCCCAGACTCCTGGGACTGACTTTAGAACATCAAAACAATTCAGGGCCTTGTCAGCACAGGATTCCATTAGGTCCTCGTAATTATCGCTGATGTCATCATCCAAATGATCCCCTGAAACAATTACAATTCTGTATATTACATCATTACAATTCTGTATATTACATTATTACAATTCTGTATATTACATCATTACAATACTGTACATTACATAATTACAATTCTGTATATTACATTATTACAATTCTATTAAATTACATTATTATAATTCTGTATATCACATTGCCTTACAATTCTGCATATTACATCATTACAATTCTGCATATTACATCATTAATTCTGCATATTACATCATTACAATTCTGCATATTACATCATTACAATTATGTATATTACATCATTACAATTCTGCTTATTACTTTTTACAATTAGGCAAATATTACATCATTACAATTCTTTGATTTTCATCATTATAATTCTGTTTATTTCATAATTACAATTTAGTTGAGTACAGTATTACATTTCTTTACAATACATTATTTGATATATCTTTTAACAAAACAGCATGTTTCTGTATATTACACCTTAAGCTTCAAGGAACCAAATATTTGAGATATCAGGGGTAAAATAGTAATAAAAAAAAAAAATAAGTGATTGCAACTTTCAAATATCACTTCAACATAGCCATGGTTTTAGAGATATTAGGGTTTGAGATACTGAAGTTCAACTGTACGTTGAACTCTTTTATATTTACAGTTAAATGCCTACCTAAGTCTTTGAGCCTCTGATTTCTATTTTTGGCCACCATCCACTCCACATAAAACACCAGACCATGATAAGCCTTACATAAAATTTCTATTTGTTTGCTGTGCTCAGTTGGTTTGGTATATTTCTGCTGCTTTGGAATATTCTAGAAATGCATAATCAGAAAAAGTGAATATGGTACATAAGAGGGCAATTGAAATTCCACTGCAAGATTAAACTTGGTTTATTATAAATATATACATGCACATCCCCTGAATGCTGTTTAGTCACATAAGTAAATTGACGGGTAACAGATTTTCACTAAAATTTCTGCCTTCTGGCATCTTTTCACTAATGATTAAAAGAAAATTGAAAATTGGAATTTTTTAATATGGACTGTCAAAATCATTTTTCAAACAATTGTTATCTCCACTTACAGTAAGAAGATACTTGGCCTCAGTGACCTCCCCTTGGTGTAAGACAAACAATAGATATTCCAGTAGTACCTCCTTGGCATTCAGCTTGTTAAGTTGCTTCACCTGACTGAAAAAAAGAAAAAAAATCATGTTCCCATATTTATGCTTTTTCAAAGACCATAATCATTTTTTGAATATTTATCATTTGTGTGCAGCATGAGTTCATTTGTAGAATGCAGTGACATTTAAGTTCTGCAAAAGGCAAGTTTTTGTTTATAGAACATGTAGAAAGAGTTTAAACAGTGGTCAAATTTTGTTCATGCTCTGAATTGTTGTGGCCTGGGAGCTACACTCCTGCAATAGGCTGCAAACCGTATTTATAAAGTTGGCCAAAAATGTTTCTAATCAAACACAAAATTCAGGCAAACATTCTGTATGCTACTTTTAAGTGCTATATCTTACTTTACAAGTTGTTCAAGGAATGGCTTATACTGACTGGGGTCATGAAATGCCAATTCTGATACACCCTGCAATAACAAAACCAGTGCTGAGTTTACTAGAATTAACATGGCCCTGTCACAACCCCATCCCCCACACTTCCCACTGTGATATTTTCAAAAGACTCTAGTATGCATTATTCAACAGCAAATTACCCCGCCCGGTTGGTATTTTCTCTCAGATATATCCAAATTTGGTCAAAATCAAAATTTGTAAAATATCTAAAAATTTCACTTGAAATTTCCTGGATGTTTGAAATAGTGAATGCAAAATAAAATATCAAGGAAACATACTCTCCAGATGATGTCAATGAACTTGTTTGGTTCCTCTGCGAAGTAATTAAGGAGGGTAATGGTGGGCACATCCCTCCTTGTCAGGAAACAGAACCGCAGGAGCTGTAACACATGGGGGACCAGCACAGTGTAATTACTGACTCCAAAATTTGTCTTGAAGGGATCGTCTGTTTAAAAAAGAGGCTATGAATCAATACATATGGATATACTGTTTATCCCTCTTCACTTATGATAATTTTTTTCTGTGAAATCATGCAATGCAGTCTTATTGTGATCATTCTCATGAATAATTCTATAACTCTTTACCCAGTGTTATATTGCACTAAATTATAATACGCCAATATTCATGTACACAAACAGTATTTGAGGGAAGATTAGATCATTTCAATTTTGTGATGTTAGGATAATGTGAGAATTGTAGTCTCTTTTTTGTTCAATAAATTATGATGCCTTCAATCTTGCTTTTCATAGACAATATTGCTATTTGGGATTGCTAAAAATCTTTACTGTAACCATAATATTTGCTAGCTCGGTATTTGTACTAAACAAGTTATATAAAAGTACATTATGTGGCATTCAGGAGAATTAGTTTTTTCTTTAATTCTTTACTTACCTTTGATAAGACTGTTTTCCAGCACATCAAACCAGTGAACAATTGGAGGGAGAGATGAATAGTCTTTGTATGGCTCTTTGGTTCCTTTGTCTTGAAGAAGGGCACATACATCCTCCAAGTTTGAGAGTTTTTCTGGCCTTATCTGTCATTATACAGTAAAACACACTTAACATGCCTAAATTACATTTATAACGACCGGAGCAAATTGTCCATTCTGGAGACTTCGCTATAAGTCTGTCTTTTAAAGTCATTAATTTGTGTTATCTACAGTTTTAATGTTTTAAACAATTAACCTGAAATATTTGTAAAACATAACTTCCATGAACTCGTCCATTAAATAAAATGATCAATTTCTACTTGCCACAGCCTGTGCCTGTACATGCTGTATGAAGTTTGGTGATTATAAAAAAAAAAACTTGGACAAGTATTTACATCTTAACTTAAGTATATATGAAATATAATTCATTTTTAAAAATGCAAAAGCCATAATGTGTATTTGTTTATATTAGATGTGATTATGCAGTAAATTTTTACTTGATAGAAATTGTTTTCCTGCAAAAACTTTTTATCTTGATTCGACAAGTGATATCAACGTCTTATGAATTACCTAATGTTACTTTACACCTAAAAGAAAACTTACATATGCTTCCATGTCACAGTGCAAAACATTTACTGAGTAAACGCGAACTGTTACCTATTTTTGTCAACTCGTACGAAAAAAGTGTGCATTATTCGTTTTAATTTTGTAGATGCTGGGATGAAATTTTTTTTCATTTTATCATCAATTTTCAGTAGTTTTTTTTCTTTCATATTTCGGTTATTTTTGTCACTAAAAATGCCTTCACATAGCAACTGTCACGAGCAAAATCTCGAACAGCTTATCTATTAATTGTTAACATCTTTTAAGAGTTTAAAACAGTCTGGAACCATACAATGTTTCAAGCCTTCAATTTACATTGATCAAAAATTACTTTTGGACACCTCAGCAAACAACAAAGCTGGTAAGACAACATACACACGTGTTATATGTTGATGTTTTCATTACATCGTTTAATATTTGGTGAAAAAAGACTTCCTGAAGAAATTTAATGCAACATGTAGACCATACATTGTTTATTTAACTGGCAAATGCATTGTATGTCATTTCAACATATGCCATATGGCTTTGCAAATTACTTTACTAAAGATTTTCTAGTTTTGATATTATATGAAAGTAAAATGTTTTTAAATTATTTTTCTTTTAAGTATTTTCAAATAGCATCCTTACACACTTTAAAGGCATTTAAAAGAATGACTTGTAATTTGATTTAGTTCAGGGAGGATTTTTTTGTTTATGAGGTTAATTAATTCCCTTTGAAATGTTAATGAAAACATATAATGAGGATGAATTCTTAACATACTCAATTTAAGATTCAAAGTTGAAGGTTGCATCTATTGTCATGACTTAACATTTAGTGGTTATTGCCATTGTCATTTTCAGCTAATATGGCCCAAGGAATTGTAGCATTTCTAGCTTTATGCTTTTGTGTGGATATTTCAACTCAACATGGAGCATACCCACCTGGTGTGCCTCCTCCTAATAACGCACATGTCCATGCACCCCCAGCACACCAGGGTGGACAACAACAGTATCAGGGACAACAGCAGTTCCAGGGACAACAGCAACAACAATTCCAGGGACATCAACAACAGCAATTCCAAGGACAACAGAATCAACAATTCCAAGGACAACAACAACAGTTCCAACAGCATCAACAAGGACAACAGCAGAACCTACAGTACCAGCAGGGACAACACCCAGGTCAGCAGGGTCAAGGTAACATATGTCCTGTCCTTAATTAACGAGGGTGGTTAATACTGTTTTGCAAAGAAATTGCTTTTTAATTTCAAAAACTTAGTTATACCTATGACTATGGTGAGATATGCCAGTATTAGATTTTTATGTTCAGAAAAGTTGGTGGTGTCACTAAATCATATTACAGATTTTTAACTGTGGATTTAATTCGGTATATCCGTTCTTATATCTGTATCATTAAATGAAAACATTTTCCTTCAAGAATTTCTTAATATACTTTTTTACAGAACATATTGAAATAAGTAAGGTTTTATTATATCTTGAATTTTATATGCAATTTAAAAATAAAATAAGTTCCCAAAATTCGTTATAAAAGATGTAAATTACATTATTTTTTATGATTGATTATATCAGTCATAACCGTAAAATTTTACAAATTGTTAAAAATTTTGCTTAAAATATCCGAAGTTGCAAAAGATGAATCATTAATAAATTAAGATTTGTCAAGAATAATTAATGATCTCTTTTGTCAAAGCATTCATAATAATAATCAGAAAATATTTTCTTGTAGGACAGTTTAATCAAGGCAACACACAACAGTTCCAGCAGCCAGGTGGTCATCAAGCAGCACATGGAGGGTTTGGACATGAAAGTGCTCACGATGCAGGGTATGATATTGGTTAAGGGAGAGGGCTTAAATAACCAGAGCCTGTTGACCGCACTTCTGTGAAAATATATTGTTTAAATTAAATAGTATTGATTTGATATTTAATATGTTCAAGAAACAAAAAACCTACAGAATATCTCTTACATTAAAAGACTTTTAGAATGTACAGAGTTTGAATCATAAAATTTTTCATTCCCCCATATTGAATGTATTCAAGATTTTTTGACCTCCTCCCCTCAAGTTATCTTTTGTACCATATATTTTCAATTTCTCTTGTAGCCATATCAAGGAGCACTTGAAGGAAGTTGTAGATAAACCAAAGGAAGAAATGTCAGAGGACGAGTTAGAATTCCATTACTTTAAATTACATGATTATGATAAAAACAACAAACTAGATGGTATTGAAATAGTCAAAGCTATCACCCATTTTCATGGTAAGTACAAAGTGAAAAGTGAAAATTGCTTAAGCTAATTGTGAATTTCTTGTTGTTGTTATAAGCATGATATATATGTACTTTATGGCTTGATATTAACTTGAAAATGTTGACTGCAGTGTTCACAGTTATATTAACATTTCATTAAAAAAATATAACTTACTAGTACATGTACAGATTTTAATAAAAATTACAGTTACGTTTATGGTGTGGATAATTTACAGACATTAATCATGTCTGCAAATAAACATTAGCATGATTAGACAACAAGTTTGTGTATTTCATAGATGGGGTAGTTATAATGTATACTAAACCATTTGTTTATATGCATATCTTTATTTAAAAAAAAGTACTTCTGGATTTTATAAACAGTGCTTTACTTTTTGAAAAACATATTTGATATAATTGTAGTTTGTTTTTTTATGGGAACATTTTCCTGATTAAAGAAAAGAAACTTTACTAACTGAATTGATTAAATCAAGATACTTACGCATAGCAAAGGACAATTTATGTAAATTTAATGTATTCAGGTAAATGGAACTTTGTTTTCCTGTTTGTATGATAGCATTTAAGAATACAAATTTTGTTGAACCATATGCCATGTAACTATCTGTTTGTAGTTATTCCAACAAGAGGTAACTTGAGAGTGAAATATTTTTTAAACAATATTGAAAAATTTCTTTTTTTTTTCTATAACACTCAACTTTTTAACTTTCACAATACTTAACACAAAAGCAAAATGCACTAATTTTCTCACTGTACAATGTCAGAGGTTTAAATTCATCATTATGAAGATTGCTATAGTTTCTGTGTGAAAACTTTTTATCTGCCAAGAAAAACATTGCAATGCCAGATCTTTGAATTTCTATGTTATGGAATGTAGAATGAAGTATATGTATTGTATAGAATGAAGTACACTGAAAAAAAGGCTAATTTTCTTAAAAACCTTTTATCAATGTCTCCTTTGCATCTTTTTTTTTAAACATCACTTGTATATTATGAATAAGGTAGGAATTGTAGCATTGATTTATTAGAAGAAATCTTTGCAGTGTATCTAATATATCTCAGAAAAATTCTTCCTAAATCCTAGAGTATGAAAGGAATTCCACAAATAACTCTAGCTCATCAGGACATGAACATGATCACACTGACCAGAATGGTCATTGGAGATGTAGGTTTGTTTTTAATGGGATATTTGACTATTTTTAAGGACCCTCTATCCTTCTTATTACCCATACATGGACATGAAACAAGGCTCTATTTGTTGATAAAGTCCCAACTTTTCACTCCTTCCTCCCTAAGAACATTCTGCCTTGAAAAAAAAACCCATTGATTTTTTAAATAACTAATACATGTACTGACAGTACAGTTTCATTTTTATGCCTCGTAATGGAACATTTGGGGGCATTTAGTTTTTGGTCTGTCTGTCTGTCCATAAAACTTGCCTAAAACTTTTGATTTTGGAGATAGTGTTTTCATATTTCAATCCCCCCACCCCCACCCCACCCCACCCCAGGTATGATTTCTAATAAGTCCTATCCTTTTGTGTCAGTATACTTGACCTTTTGACCTTGGCCTTGGCTTTTGATTCAGTTTTGCTCATGGGCACCTACATTTGTGACGATTTGATCTTAAAATTTGATCTGCTTTCATATTTTGTACATTCACTTCTTGTTACAAGACTTTTCTCTTTGCATTTACATTTTTGACCTACAGACCTTGACCTTAGAGTTTGACTAGCATTTTAGAAACTTTAACCTTAGTCATGAGCTGTCAAAAAGGACATCGGTGTTTCACAAACACATCTTTTTTTGGTCCAGGGTTTTAAAGTTTTGATATTTTTGCCTTTGGTGGCGTATTTTGAAACTTGGTTTATTTACACCTGAACAAATTCCTTGAAGTGAAATTATTAACATACTAGTATCTGATATAAATAATAACTCTGATATGAATACTTGTATTTCTCTATCATTTACTTTACATTGTTTTAAATTACAGAGTAAAATCAGTGAAAATAGGCTTAACTTGATGAAATACTCTTGTTTTTATTAAATATTGAAAATTTTAACCTAATATATACACAAGAAATTTGAATTTTAGAGGAATAATAAATTGTCATCATTTTTTTTTTTTTTTGAATGGCAGTATACAGAATTAAAGTTGATTTATTTTAACTCCTGTTTGTAGATTTTATCTTAAATTAGGTAGCTTTTTCTGAATAAATTTCAGCTTAATTGCTACAAAATTCCATAATTACTCTTCTTTATAAATGTTGCAAAATTTAGTTTTAAAAATCATTTTAAGGCAGTTTTTTTTTCTCAATTTTACAGCTGATGAAGGCGAAGGTGAACAGCAGCATCATGACAGAAAAGTTTTCTCAGATGAAGAACTCAGTAACATTGTTGACCTAGTCTTACAGGAAGATGACCTAAATAAAGACGGTTACATTGAATATGTGGAATTTGTCACAGCACAGAGGAAAGCTCGGGAACAGGCAAAGACTGATCAAGGCAATGAACAACAACAACAACAACAACACTAGAGATGTACTATAATTTAAAAAATGAAGTCTCGCAAGTAAAATTGATCTAGTCGACTGTTTGAGGGGGAGGGAAAATTTTGCCTAAAATTCCTTCTTAAGCAGATAATAGAGTAATATATATTACATAGTTTATGTCTTAAATTTTTTTAGAACATTATATTCATTAGATACTGGTATCTTAATGTTTTCAAAAAAAGCTAAATATGTGTATGTAAAGGGGACGGGGGGATCCCAATTTTCTTTACTGGCACATTGTATGACAAAATATCCCTCACATGTTGTTTTACTGTGAAGTTATATTCTCTTTTTAGTATGCATGGAAATGTATAAAAACTTCTTGGTATTTTTGAGGCTATGTAGATCTGTTAATAGTAGATTTTCTTGAAATTAATAGTAAAAATATTTTTTGGATATATTGGCAGCTGATAAACATAAATATATATACATACAACAGTGGATGCTACGTCTGATTAAAAAAAATTGTAACAGTAATTGAATATACTTGTAGTACATGTACATGTATGTATAACTACAACACTTTAAAAGTATTTCAGTACTACACGTACTGTTGAGTATTACAGTACTACATATACTGTTGAGTATTTTGTCATGTATGCCATTTTGGCACTGATACTGGTGCTCTTGACCTACATTTTGTTGTTGTCTACAGGTTAGTCTCTGAGTTGTTCTTGTTGTCTTTTTCCTTTTTGATGGGTGTATATAGAGTCCCATTTTCCATATTTCTTGTTTTTGGTTTACCTGCATATTGTTCGGGGATGGGGTGGGATCTAGTGTGATTTCTTCTTTTTCCTTTTCTTAAAACATATAAGAATTAATTCATTAACATGTGGGTTTTTCAGCCAGAAAATTTTAAATCTTTGGTAATTTTTATTTTTGAAATACTTTTTAAAATATTTATTATTTATTGTAGCTAAATAGACCGAACTGTATATTCTCCAAATTTTTGACATCCAAAGAATAGGTATAATGAATAAATGTTAACTGACATTCAAAACACACCAGAAAAATCCTTCCAATCTTGACTACATGTATTTGTTTTGAGTTACTGTTCCTTGTTAAGGGAGCAATATTCCTGATCTTGAAATGTGTACAATCATTGTAGCTGCACTGGCTTAACAAATATTTCATTTTGTAAACTTAAGTTCATTTTTAATGATGTACATGTACATGTACTTAGTTTTTTTTTAATCTATCAAAATAGTTTTCATATTTGCATATAAATATATACAGCTTTAATAGGGTGATGTTTCATAACTCTTTTCCATATCTGCTTTAAAATGTCATTCTTGAAATTAAGTTTTAACATTTTAGAGCTTTATTTATTTATACATAAATCATACATATATAAAAATTTACTCCAGAGTATACCAATAGTTATTGCTTTGTTTAGTGCACCATTGAAACATGACAATGTTTTTGTTTGAGAATTTGCTTTATGTTTAGTTATTTACACTTTACTATAAGGGAGAGCAAATATTAATGTGAAATCCACACTTCTCAAAGCTCAATGATGGCAATTGTTAAAGCATGAATAAGTTTAAGGTGTGTAATGTATGGGTGTGTGTTAAAAAGGCTGTTGTGACCCAATATGGGACATTTTAAATGAATATTCCTCATATATATGTAATTATCAAATACATGTATATTAATCAAATAAGTGATTTATTTTGATATGGTAGCAATTATCTTTTTTCAAATTGATCAGTGTTGAAGATGTTTTTTAAGTATTTTTTTGGAACATTCCACAATTTCATGAATGAAAATGTGTGTTTTTTTTAATTTATTCATCTAAAAATAGTTTTTAAAGGATACATGTATTCCTTACATTTACTTTTATCAAGATTCAACAAAATATTGAGTTGCATGTTCAATGTACATGTAACATGTTAAAATGATTTTATTGGAATGCTGAATCATTAATGAGTGTTCATTATGATATATAATAAGTTGTATACCGGGTAAGCATGATCTCTTTGATTGTTGAATTGGAAAGTGTCATAAATGAGAAATGATCATCAACATGTATACATTTTTTGATTTGGTGGAAGTACATAGATGTTACTGTGTGTGTGTGTGTAATTGTTGAATAAATGTTGAATGGTGGACCAAAGGAAATGACTCCTTTTAAATACAATCTTTGACATGACCTACTCAAGAATTTTGAAGGGTTTCTATTTACAGATATGCCTTTTATTTGTGAAACACTGAATAAGATGCCCCAAAATGGCAACTTATGGCAACAGTTGAAGTTTTCTCAAAGGCAAGTCAAACTCCAAGGTCAAAAGGTTCAAATTTTTGGTATCCAAAGCAAGGTTTTGTCACAAGGAATACACCTGTGATATATATAAGAGCCTCAATACTAACGGTTCAAAAAATATTAAAGTTTTTTATAAAAATGGATCAAACTCTTAGGTCAAAGTCAATAACCTATTGAAAGGTTTTATCACAATAAATAAACGTGTGAAGTGTGATGTGACAGCGCTATCACCAACTATTCAACAGTTATGGCCAAGGTTAAAGTTTGTTTTTTTTAAACCAAGTCCACTGATGTCCCCATATGGCAGCTAACAGTGGCAGATCCAGGAATTTAGAAACGTAGAAACGGGGGCACAGTGGAAGGCGGGGGGGGGGGGGTGTCTGGTGGCTGTACCGAAATTCCCAGTGGATCCAAGACAAGGTTTTTTTGGGGGGTCCGGGGCTAACAAGTTCTAGCAAATAAGAGATTATTTTCCTTGATTTTAGGATGAGGAACATAAATTTTACATACAAAAATTTCAAACGGGGGGGGGGGGGGGGGGGGGGTTACGCTGGCCCTGGATCTGCCTTTGGCTTATTGCCACAGTTGAAGTTACTAAAATGCAAGTTAAACTGTGAGTTCAAATTTTGGTATCCAAAGCAAGTTCTTGTCACAAGGAATAAGACTGTATTCTCTATTGTCAAGGTAAAAAAAAAAATATATACCCATTGATAGGTCTTATCACTATGCACTCATGCACTGGCGGATTTAGAGGGGGCAGCCCCCCCCCTTTTGTGTCAAAAAATACACAAAATTTGATAAATTAATGTTGTTTTTTTTATGTGACTGTAGACCCCTATTCTGACCCCAAACTGGTTGCCCCCCCCCCCCCTTTCAAGATTTCTGGATCCAACATTGCAATGAATACACATATGAAGTATTAAATCCCTAGCACCAAGTACATGTATTCAAAAGTTATGGTAATTTTTATTAAAAAAAACAAGATGTTTTTGTGAAACACTATGTGCCCGGCGGCAACAAAGTTCAAAAAAACTATTTTTAGCAGATAGTTTACAGTCAAGGTCACAAGATCATTGACCTTGGTGTCAATTGAAAGAACTTCATTAGTGGAGTATGCATACGAAAAATGAAGGTTGTATCTCCTATGATTCAAAAGGTATGGCGAAAGTTCGATAAAAGCTATTTATAGAATTTAGGTCAAAGTCAAGGTCACACGGTCATTGACCTTGGTGTCATTTGTATGAGCTTAATTAGCGAAGAATGCATATTAAATATGAAGTCTCAATCTCCTATGGTTCGAAAATTATAGCAAAAGTTAGAATAAGCTATTTTAGCATGTAGGTTACAATCAAGGTCACAAGGTCATTGACCTTGGTGTCTTTTCAAAAAACTTTATTAGTGGAGTATGCATACTAAATAACAAGTGTCTATCTCTCAAGGTTCAAAAGTTATGGCGAAGGTTAAAGTTGACAACAGACAAACAGATAAACAATAAGACAGGACAAAAGCAATATACACCCAGATCTATCGATCCGGGCGCATAAAAAACGGGTCAAACTCTAAAGTCAAGGTCAAGAAATCAAATTTGGTGGTTCCTAATTGGCTAGAAAAAGGATTTGTCAGAAGTAAATACACCTGTGAAATATGAGAGCCATAGCTTTTACCTACTCAAAGGTTATGTGAAATGTTAACGTTTTTTGCGGATAATCAGAGAGACAGACAGGGCAAATACTATTTACCCCTGTATCTTCCATTACGGGGCATAAAAATGTAGAAGAGATACACAAAGAGCCAAAAAAAGAAGGAATAAATGGGAAAAAAAAATTGGTTCAAACCCTAAATCGCCACATTTTCATTCCAGTATTCTACCACAAAATCACTGATTTTGGGATAATGGATCTTATTCTTCAGGTTATATGAGAAGGAGGAAGTTCACCTTAGCCAAAATTATTCAACGAGTACAGCCGTACATAAATAAAATTATTCAGTCGTGAGTTTTTATCCAATGGTAAAATGTCTCTGGCAATAGTTTTAGATATTCTATATATAAATTAATCTATCCAAACTCAACGACTTTAATGTTTATTATATATATTTATATTTAGGAACTATTACATTTGAGTTTACACATCTCAATTTTAAACAAAGTTGTTACGTTGGATTATAAATGTATTACCTTTGTAGGGGGAAATACCCATCATATGAGCCATGTTTCTTTCCCAGATCTTTAAAATTCGTTGCTTCCATGGAAAAGAACAGAGTTAGATTCTTTAAATTTACCAAGTATACAGTCCATCTAAGGGCAAACGAAGGACTGTTTTTATGCGCCCGTGTAACGTTGAATTTTGACCCGCGTTGAAAATTGACCCGGGGGTCATTTTTCAACGTTGAATACTGAGACCGAAGGTGTTGAATTTAGACCCTAATCCGTTGAAAACTGAGCCGGGTCGTTGAATTTTGATCATGAAACCGGTTCAAAATTCAACAGCATAAAAACACATATTTACAAGTTAATTGATGCAAAGCATCAAATCGGCCGCTAACATATTTAACATGTTAACATGTCAAAAAGTACTTTCACAATTCAAAGCATTCATGAAAGAAAAGAACAGGATATTCAAAGCTGAAATAATGATCATTTTTATTTCAGGCAGTCTTCAAAGAGTAAATATATAAATATTTTTTAAAATTTGATAGAAATTTTAGTATCATGCCTGCTATTCAATCCAATTCAATAATAAAATATATTTTAAACTAGAAATATTAGTGCATTTGCTCATCCAATGGATTTATCGATGTAAAAAAAAGTCTATGATGAATATGCATAGGCGTCGGAAGCAAATCGAAAGTGGGTGGGTGGTGGGGGGTGGGCTAAACCGACAAAAAATGTTAAAGCCCATTTTCAATGCCTATATAATGTATATATTTGCAAAAAAAGTGGGGGGAGCAACCCCCCCCCCCCGGTTCCGACACCTATGATATTAGAAATTATTGTCATCAAAATGAAGATGTATGCCTTTCAAGATATACCACGTGCTGATACCCTGGTTATTTGTCACGTGATAATGCCTTCATATATGGTTTCTGCAGAGTAGGTTATGCTGCATGGTGCGGTGCAAAAT